CCGGAAAAACTCAAATTTTCGGCATAGTGCCACGGTGTGCGAGCCACCCAGGAGCCAAACAAATGCATTTACAATTTTTTCACATTTTCGTGCTCATTCTGTTCGTGCGCGGGACTCAAACCTAGAACAAGTCCAGAAGCAGCCATGGGTGATGGGGTAGGGCCCCTCGACGAGGCCCTGGAATCTGTCACAGCGGAACGAGTGGGCGTTCTCTCACACACTCCCACAGACCCAAGTCAATTTTTGAATTTTTTTAGGTTTAGCACGTGCTACGAGGTCGTACCTTTGATACAACATCCAGTGCTGGGACCTCCACAGCAAGCCATTTCCACAGCGCTGCACACCAAATCCAGGATACCCTCAGAAACCGGCAAAGACTACCACTCACGTTTCACTACTGCCTAGTACTGAATCCTACCTGACTTCTTGACACGACTCAAACTTGCCAAAGTCACTAAATCAACGTCAACTACAATAATCAAGCCACATATCTGCAACGTCACGAGGGTGCTGGCAAAAGACCTGCAGCCCAATACGTGGCTCAAAAACCTGATATTTTGGACTTGGAGCAAAATTCTGCACACTTTCACGTGTTTCCATGATACGACAAGTTGCGCACGGTCTGCTCACATTCAAATACAGTGCTGCCAACAAATGACAGCGTGCAACAAAAAAATCTTTCCTTCCAAGGGCACATTTTCGGCCATAACTCTTGAACGGCCGGTCAGATCGGGACACACTTTTCAGAGAATTTGCAGCTATTCAAGCTCTTTCAACTGACGTAGCACTCAATATGAATTTACAAATTCGATTTTTCAGCGAATTTTTGGGTAGTCTGCCACCTTAAGATGCACGTTATTTCCGACGTGACGCGCAGTTTCACGTCAAATTTGAAATCGATCGGTATTTTTGCTCTCACATGCATCCATTGCTCAATCATGCATCATTTGCCTATATGACAAACGTTGGCCTGCGATTTACTTCGGACGGTTGGTACCAAGCGGCGAAATCAGCGAAATTAAATCGCCAGCGAACATTAGTTGATTTTTTACAGGAATCGGATTTTCTGGCCTTTTTGTAGTAATACATGTACATAATCATTGACCTGTTGAGCCAATGACGACGCCGAATGCATGGTTGCCTGTGGAGCACATTACATAACTTTACAGTCTCCTAAAATACGTATCCTGTCCGACGGCAAAAGAGGCTGCAGATTTAGTTTTTCTGCGTGTCGACGGGATGTCTGCGACGCGAAAGTTCAGCTCGCATTATTTGGCTCGCACGTCGAAAAAATCAACGCGAGTGACCTGCTGCTCACGTCGAAATTTGGACATTACATAACTTTACAGTCTCCTATATAAATACGTATCCTGTTCGACGGCAAAAGAGGCTGCAGATTTAGTTTTTCTGCGCGTCGATGGGATGTCTGTCCTCACGTTTACTGGGACCGGCTTAGACTCTGCCGATCACGGGCGTTCTGGACTCAACGGGATGTCTGTCCTGACGTTGCCTGGTACCACCGGACTCTACCGATCACGGGCGTTCTGGAGTCGACGGGATCTCTCTTCCGACGTTTCCTGTGACCGGCACTGAATCGCTCGTTCACGCTTATTTTGGAGACGACGGGATCTCTCTTCCAAAGTATGTTTATGCTGACGCATCCTATCACCTAATCGGCGTCTATTCTAATTATTTTAATTTCCTCCTCGTCTCCCTATTTCTTTCCAAATCCCCCTCTACATCAGGGAGTCGTATGCATAATACGACGAATATTGGTACGGTACGGGACAGATACAGGAGCCCGCAAATATTGTGGACAGCTGTTATGTACAATCCTGTAGAGCCTTTGTAGTCACAGATACGGGACAGATACGGGACAGATACGGGACAGATACGGGATAGCGCCAGGCGTGACACAAACAAACAAACACACAAACAAATACCAAATTAAAGCTGCGTGGACCCTGGCTAGCGCCAGACGTTACTGAAGTAACGTCTTCTGCATAACTACGGGAATTAAAGCTGTGTGGACCCTGGCTAGCGCCAGACGTTACTGAAGTAACGTCTTCTGCATAACTACGGGAATTAAAGCTGTGTGGACCCTGGCTAGCGCCAGACGTTACTGAAGTAACGTCTTCTGCATAGCTACGGGAATTAAAGCTGTGTGGACCCTGGCTAGCGCCAGACGTTACTGAAGTAACGTCTTCTGCATAGCTACGGGAATAATCGCCTATACTATAGTCCAAACACGGCACCCTTCACATTTGAATGCTTTCATGATCACAATTCAATTACCCCTACCCCTGTGCCTCTTTGGGCTCCCAGCGGCTTTGATGGGTCCACTTGTGTCATAGTTAGTTTTGGCCAACGAGGACGACCGAGGCTTCGGTGGATTGATGTGGTGAAATTCGACAACTCCCCTCTCGGACACACGCTCGAGGATTGCCTCAACACTGCACGGGACAAAAAGCTATGGCTGGACTTCATTGACAAATGTACATCGGTGTAAAAAAATGGCATGTACTTGTCATGTGCTAGAACCTGTATATGGTTTTTTTCGTATGCTTTTCTTCCTGCTGCAATCTATTTCATGATGAAACAGTTGACAGATGGTTGGAACCCATTATTTGGGAGACATGCAACCTGTACTATTATTATTATTATCATTATTAGTTTTGGCCAAGCGAGTTGGCCCTACTAATAGCATGTAGTTTCTTTTCTCCTTTCACTCTGATGATTCTTTACCAAAAAGATGAAACCGGTCAGTAACAAAGAGAAAATGACCTCGTGTGATTTATGCTTGTGTCGGGGGTTCTCAAATTGCAATAAGGCCACAACAAAAAGCTTTCGTGTTTCCGGTCGGCCGACCGGGTCCGTTTTTTCAAAAATTATGGAATTTTTTGGTTTACGACAAGTACAAAAAAACAAAGAAAAACAAGCAAAAACACTGAAAGCATTGTGTTGCTTTGCTCGAACCGAAATAAAAGTTTGACTGAATGCAGAGACGAAAATTCCGGAGCTGGAGAAAAGGTCGCCAAGAACGATGGCTGCTTAGAGCAGCCCGCTTTGTGTCCAGTGCTGACGATGGCTGCTCAGAGCAGCCCGCTTTGTGTCCAGTGCTGGCGGGGTGCGAAGTGTCTTCTTCAGCAAAGGATAGTTCGCGTCTCCCATGAAACCACCTTGAAGGAGTTGTTTTGTGAGGAAGTGCAGCCTCGCTTGCCTGAGGACATCACGTCTTTAGAGTGGATTGTCGCAGCTACAGCAAGCAGCAATGGTGGGGCAGGAACGTGGAAAGATGTAGAGGTAACTGAAACTGTCGGCCTTGTTGTCGAATTTGGATGCCGTCTCCTGGATTTTCGCTTGGTGGACGTAGCTCCTGCTGCCAAGCGACCGTGCCCTGACCGTCCCTCGGCATTCGATGTGCTTCTGGGAGCAGCAGCGAAGCGGGATCACCTGCCAACTCCAACTGGGAAGACGTCTAAAGACGTTTTATTCACTGACATAACTGGTCACTTGAAGGTGAGTCCATGTCGTGTCACTTTGCCTGCGTGTGCATGTCTGCCTTTCCCGACTAGAACTCTAAAAAAAGTGCTCTCACATGCACATCTGACTGGAAAATTTGTCCATGCTTCGTGCTCACCTGTTCCCACTGGCTGCATAGACAGCAGTATGAGAGCAGCCTGTAGCTGGACAACTCAGTTACTGTAGAGCAGGCATAACACTTTTTTGTACGTGCATGTCCAGTACTGCTGCTGCTGCTACTAGTGCATGCCTGTCTGACAATGTCAGGGTGAAATAATTTCTCTTGCATTTGCTTTTGTGTTCTCATCTGCTGTGCTGCAGGCTTGTGAACTGGGGTTTTCAGCTGCTGCAGTAGAAACTGAAGGTTCCTATGTTGTCCGTACATTGACGTCAGCAGTGTGGTACATACATCCAAATTTGCAAACAATAGTGGATGCATCCTCACGGAAGTGTGTTCCTGCTGTGCCATCCCGCTGGCTTAACCTTTTCAGTGGTAAGGTGTACAACGACTGGCAAGGAAAGAAGGAGAAGCGTCCTCAACTTGATTCCCCGACTATTGCCGCACACGGGCAAGCGCTGCTGGCACTGTTGGACAAGCCATGCATTTCTGGACAGTCGTGGAGTGCACTGCGCAAGGACATCGAGGGACTTGTAGACACTTGCCGGGGTTACCAGAAGTACCTGGAATCAAAAGCTGGTGGACAGAGTCAGCGCCAGAGCCAGAATCATCCTGTACGGCAGGTAGCAGAAAACATGTCCATGACCCACCACAACGCTAGGAGCGAGGCTGGCATGACTAGCCAGGAGAGAAAGCTGGACAGTGCTTTGAGAGACAGGCCAACATTTGACCCACTGTTCTATGACGAGGAACTGCTACTTGGCACAATTCTCACCAAAGACCAGCGCTATCGTCTCTTCAAAGATTTAGCTGTATCAGTGCCAATTGACGTGCTTCGCTTTGATGCAGGTGGTGGTACCTCCGCAACTGTCATCATTTGGAGGGTGTCCAGCGACATTTCCGAGTCCGAGCATGTTGGCCGAATTGCTCGCCTGGTGAAGTCTCTGGAACCCAACCTGCCCGAGTACCACACAAGGCAGATGCGGAAAGAGTTCTTCTCCAAGTATGGCCAACTTGCTGGCATGTTTTTGTGTCAATGTCAGTACTATGCGTCTATTGATGCTGACCCATTGGTATTGCATACAATTCTCAGAAATCTCTGAACTATGCAATACATCTACTGCGTCCCGCGGTGGTATTCTACTCCATATTCCATATGTAAATATGTATATATTGTGTATCACCAGTGTCTGATCCAAACTTTCTCAATTTGGCTCATGTCTATGAATACAGCAGGGAAATAAACTTTCAAATCAAAAAATAATAATTTTCCGACCGACCGGGCGTATTTTTTCGGGGGGTGCCGACCGGAAACACGAAATCTTTTTGTTGTGGCCTAATCGTAATTTCACAAAATGTCGGTGCTTTCGGTGCATTTCTTTCACACCTAAATTTTCACCAGCCGCACAAAAACTCAGAAGTTGCGACCGACTCGGCCATTCGAATAGGATTTGAAACTGTCCGCCTGTCCATACTGCGCTCTTGGAGCTTGTTATCGTGTGGTGAACGTGGGCCAAGAGTGCAGTGTGGAGAGGTGGACAGTTTCGAATTACAGTAAAACCTGGTTTACGCGACCACCCCACTGTGCCAGGAAAAGCGGCCGGGTGGTCTTTAGAACCAGGTCCCACAGTGTCTGTGTAGAACTGTCCGTGCATGGAAAAACGGTCGTTAAGAGCAGGTGGTCGCTAAAACGAGAGGTTGCTTACACCAGGTTGTACTGTAGCCGCATAAAAACCAACACAACTACTGTTATGGACTCAGATGGAGAGCCGAGGTTTAATTTATACAAAGAGAAAGACCAAGGAACTACAAGTTACGCTATACTGTCCACTAACACCACCAGTTAGTTCGCATGAGCTGATTGTCAACTAACTGGTGGTGTTAGTGGACAGTATAGCGTAACGTGTAGTTCCTTGGTCTTTCTCTTTGTATAACTACTGTTGCTCCACAAATGTTTGGCCCATTCAAATGTTTCGGCCTCCCATGGGCTAAACACACATTTCGGCCGCAGTTTAAATTTTCGGCCTGTACTGCTGCCGCCTGTATACACTGTCACACTGAACCTTGCAGAACAAAATTTCAGCCGAAACAAATACTCAGCCAAATATGACCAGGCGGAAAATAGCCGAAACTAAATATTCGCCGAATATTTGTCGACTATAAGCAGTAGCAACAATAACATAGAGAGCATGGGGCGTATTCTGACCTTGCCACACGTGTCCCCACAAGTAGGGATGTCCTCTGAACACGGCAAATCACTACCTGCGAAGAATAGACAAACAGCAATGGATTTCTTTACTACAGCGACCTTGAAAACAGCACATTAAAATAGTCAACATCAGCAACAGCAGTCAAGGTGCAGAACCTGCTAAGACCGTTGTGGACATACTCGAGGAAAAGCCTAAGAAGCAGAGGCTTCTCTTTGCGTTCTCCACTCCAAGTGGAAAACTTCGCTGTGTGTGCGGGTGATAGTCCTCTATGGGGTGAGGGGCAGTCAGCAGCTTTCAGCATGCTCAGCGCATGGGGTGTTGGTGTTATGTTTTCGTTCTTTGTTGTTGTTGAAAACATGACTAACGGCAGGATTAGCAGCTGAGAGCTTCACAACAGCACACCGTGTACTTACTGGACTTGCCACAGGGACACGAGCGCTGGCCAGCTCTCGGACAGTCGCCACACTCGCCGGAATGGCACACCTGTAACGCACGCACGCATACACACGTACACACGTACACACACACACACACACATACACGCCCGCCCCCCCCCCCCCCACACACGCACACACACGCACACACACACACACACACACACACAGAAGCACAACGTCAACTTGGCCCCGTTTGAGCACCCAGGAATCCGCCAAAGGCGCCAGGATACCCAATAAACAAATCTGACTATTCGTTTTAGCAAGAGTACATGAAACCCCGAGTGTGAAGCTTGGGGTTTTCTGCATGTGTGTCCGTCGCGGCTGAATTCCATGATTACATCATCTTTGGTGCTGATATGAGTGCGAAATGATCAGAAACCACAGATAGCGTGATGGTATGTACAATCATGGTACAACTGATCTGTGCGATCGAGTAGTTGTACTGAACCGGCGCAAGATCCCATGTGTTAGCTTTCGACATTGGATAGTTGGACACCGTATTTCCTTGATTATAAGTCGCACCCCTACTTTCAGGTTTGAACCACATTGTTTCACTGTAATTATTCACATACTGTAATCTGCCCAATGTTTGCGTCACTAATGTTTTGCCATATCTCAGAACCAGCGAGTTTACGATGGCAAGTGTTCGCGGAGCACCGTGGCCACACATATACACCCGCTGTTGAAGTTTGATTTCACTATGGTTAATTCATTTGCGTTACGCTCTCTTCGCAAAATTAGCAAACATTAATACGTCGCAAACATTAGGCTGTTTACAGTAAGTAGGATATCACACTGGATTGCAAGTCGCATCCCCTTCTCTGCCCGAGAGGTTCAGTGTAAAAAGGCGTGATTTATATTCGGGGAAATACGGTAGTGGTATCTTCGACCTCACTGACCTCGAGTTGAGACCACACACCATGGTCCAGTGCGCCATGATGGCGAAGCATAGTATGGCGTGCTTCTTTCGAATCGTTTCCCTGTGTTATTATTTGTTCATAGCGTAACTTCGGTTTCTGTGATTTGGTCTCATCACTTTGTTCTGTCGTACTGCTTACAAAACGGATATTGTGAGTACCGTACTTCTCCGGATATAGGTCGCACCTTTTTACGTTAAACTTCAAGAGCAAAGAAGGGGTTGTGACTTAGATTTGAGTATGACTTCTTACTTTACGTGAGTGTATTGATGCAATGTCCTTCAGACCTGAGAATGGGGGGGGGGGGGGGGGCGGGGGGCACTTAGAATCGAGTGCGACTAACAATCAAATACGATCATGTCTTTCAAAGGAGCGAATGGCTAATGCAAGCCTTAGCAGCTGCACCCGCAGTGGGATCGGTCGACGGTGCTAGCACAAGCACATCGCATCCTCAGCAATCTACAAGTACTCATCCTCCTCACGCAACCAGCACTCCTGATAACTCCACCGCACCTGCAACGGCATCCAGGCCTGCTGATGATCGAACAAGGTATCTCACTGTCGATGAGCGCGGCAAAGACTTGCTGAAGGCTTTATTTATTTTATTTATACAACATCTCCTGGCTCGCCGCAACACAGCCACTACTACCGTGAGAATGAGATTAATTAATTGCAGTGTATTGACATCAGTGAAGCAATCAATAAGGTCCATACTACCCTATGGTGCGAGGCACACGTACCTTTCTTCACCCAGCGAAAGAAATCTCTGGAGGATCCCCGAAGAATATGGTCAGACGTAGCCAAATACCTTTTGTCACAGTTCTGCGTATTGTATGGCAGAGCATCAAACTACGCTGACAAGTACATAGCGTTTCAAATCGATTGGAAGGCAGCAGTTAGCGCCTGCCTGTCCAGCTCAACCACTGGCACAGCCACAAAGCTGGAAAGCGTAGATGCACCGGCAGTGCCGGCAGAGTCTCCCGTCTCCATTCGGCGGCTTCAGCGACTTGCAAATGCGCTTGTGAGGAAGTTAAACACGGCGTGGAAGGATTAACAGAACCGCCGGTAGTAACGGCTAACCCAGAAGATAGGAAAGGGTTTGCTCCTCACACTGGAGCTCGCGCTTTTCCGCCGACTTGATTTGACACTTGACTGACTCAGAAATGCAGGCAAATCATTCTGATGAGCATGTGCAGTTGTGCACCGCTTTTTTTGGTGCAGCGCTTTGTCGATGCATGTGTGTGCTGACACAGCAGAAGACAGGGCAAGGTGACAAAATGAATCCGGCCAAGAAAGCTCAACTGAAGCTATCCGGAACGATGCGGTTGGATGTGGAGGAGAAAGAAGTTGCTTGACTTGCCCCCTGCACTTCGGATTCGAGACCGTGGATGGATGGAGATGAAGGAGCACCTCAGCACTACAGAACACATCGCCTTCTGACATTCATGAAGGCAGAATATAATCCTTCCGCTGACCATGCCATGCAAGTGATTAGAACACTTGTCAATCATGGTCCTGATAAACTCTACCGGCGAAACCTACTAAAGCAAGCATCCACCATCACTGCTGCGTCTCGGTGCAGGCCCTGCTCAGTACTTCAAGTAGTTGTCACGTTCGTCCTAGTCTCAGTACCATTGTCTGTCACTGTTATTTTCGAGTTGGGTACTGAAGTATGCGAACATAGAAGAAGAAGAAATAGGAAGAAAAACCCCAACATCCACTGTGTGTGCGATATGACTGTGGGTAAGAAAGTGTCAGACACCGTGTCGCAACATTGCCCTGGACAGGGTTCTTCTGATACCACTGCCTCATGCAGGGAAGCACAGGGGTGTAGCTCGCACATCTGTAGTGTTAGTGTCTTTAGTGACCAGGGAGTCGTATAAACCCTTAGGTGCGGTTCACACGAGGTACAAAACACCGTATATCATGCTTTCAACGTGTTCTTGTACTGTGGTTACCTTGACAACTTTCACCTGTGGCGGGAAAACTCGTATATGTTTTCAGCAACACCCGAAGGGGTATAGAAAGCAGGATACACGCTGTTTCTTGCTAACAAAGACTAAGTGGGTTGAAAATGCTTGTTTTATTTCACTTGGTTGTTCGATTGAGTTCAATTTGATACGATACCTCGCCAGATTTTTTCAGAAGTTTTGGAGGCAAAGCTCATCGACCTATGGGCTGCATATCAACAGACGAAGAGTGGCAAGATGAAGAAACGCGCTGTTCGTGAGAAAGAAATTGCCAATGAGCTGAACAAACTTACCAAGGGAAATTGCCGTGACTTGGAGGTGACGGCGCTCATAGTGCACAACAAAATAGACAACGTGAAATCAAAAGCCAGGGAAATGTACAAGAAGTACAAGAGATCGACTGGCACGGGCAGCCAAGCTGATCCGAAGTTTGACATGGAGAGCGCGTTCGGAGCCTGGAGTAATTTTCGCGCCTGGCACAAGTACTTCGGTGACGTACCTGGTCTAGGGCCACTTGAGACTTTGGACTCCTGTGATAAGGGAAGTAACAAGTCGCCTCTTGAGCTGCCCTCTACGACATCTTCATCCTCTGAGTCTCCAGGTGCGTCCGTGGACGACAACGCTGAGGTCACACGAGTCCCTCCATCACGTTCTTCCACACCTATAGCTATGACATGCGATGAAGAACACTATTCACTATTCAGACGCAAACTAAATTTTGTTCTAAAATTTTCTTGAGATGAGACCACGCGTATGGCAGCGAGTTTCTATGGTTTTTGGATCCGCGCTAGTGGTGAAACGAATATCAAAACCCAGTAGCCGAATATTCTTTGGCTTAACGAACGAACGAACGAATATTCTTTCGTTAGCACGGATGACATCACACGTCCTCCTCTCAGTCATTTTATTGGATATTGTCACTATTATTAGGCATGACAAACGAAGGCACATATTTCTCCACCATTTCTAGGTCAATTTTCACAAAGTCCCCAGCTGAAGTGCATTTTACACGCTCAAAAAAAACAGCTCAAGATGTGATTTTTCGTTCGACCGCCATAACTCCATTCCAGGACCTCGGATCGCGTCCGGGTTGCTTCGAGATGACAGCTGAGAGTTTTCTAATGCCGATGGAGCTTTCGACGAAGCGGTTCGGTCAAGTATTCGCGAAGTAACGGAAGTTTGAAGTCGCCCGGTAAACTCTGCATACCCGGCTAGCGAATATTCGCCATGAGAAATATTCGTTCGAATGTGACAAACCGAACGAACATTCGAATATTCGGTATATTCGTTGCACCACTAATCCGCGCGTTTTTTTACGCAACCTTTCACATACACTGTGTGAGCACATGCTGGATATAAGCAGTTTTGTACTGCAATCAGTTATACGCAGTTTGTACCTCGTGTGAACCGCACCTTATACTGTAAAAGCAGAAATTCTCCGTCGTGTAATATTTTCGGTATTCTAAAAAATCAGTGGTTCGGTGGAGGGAAATTTTCGGTGAACCCGTTTTCCAGGCAATGTACTAGTAGTAGTACCGAAATTGTCGGTGCATTTCATTTTCATTGAAAATTTCGGCACCGAAGTTACCGAAAATAGAACACAATCGAAAATTTCTGCTTTTACAGTACGACTCCCTGGTGGTGAGCATGTACCACCGGCGACCTCGTAGTCGCCAATTTGCCCATTTTCGACTATGCAGTACCTTCGACGACGGCCATTCGCTGGTGTGGTGATTGGACTACGCTGACTACACACGAGCTACGCGCCTGAATCAATGGTACTGAAAGTTCTCCATGCAGATGAGGAGGTTATTGATTCGGCAGAACAGACGCAAACTGTTGGACCAGGAGCAACGCCAACAAGTGGTCCGAATTTGAGAGACAATATCCCTATCGGCAATGCAAAATCTCTTTCACAGCTGGGCTATCCGTGATTCTGTTTGGAGTATGCGCCATGAGTAACGGTTCATGTCCTTGGCGGCCTCGTCTTGGAATATCTAATATACAACGACCCAGACTGTTTGATTTAATAGTGTGCACATATCACGTATTGCATACATTCCATGCTTGAACCTGTATAGACATGTTGTTACAAGAGGATTTATATAAAGACTTAGTCGGACGGAAACATATTAGCACACGAAGAGACGAAGTCAGTTGAAAATCTGATGAGGCCTTTCGTCACATTATCACCATGTACTGGTTTGAGAAGTAATGGTACGAAAGGCCTCATCAGATTTGCAACTGGCTTCGTCTCTTCGTGTGCTAAGAGGATTAATCAATCTAATGATTATGTCGGTACATTCAGCTTTAAAACTCACCTCCTCGCACACGTGGTTCCGACAGGACAGCTCCCGCCCGCACACCTAGAAAAAGACACACACACACACACACAGACGAGCGCACAGAACACGAGTACAGTGCGTATCGGTTATAGTGTGGTCGTATACAAGAATATACTGCTTACAAGAATGAACACTCATTTTTTCATAATCATAACACATATTTTATGTGTATATTTATTCTTACAAGCAGTATTATCGCATAGTAGAATATATCGGCCCTAAGAATGGATTTTGTGTAGCAAAATATGCCAGATTAGTGCAAAGTGTATCTCCTGTAGTAATCAATGGTAATAACATCTGTGCTCTGTGCATACTCAATACAATAATAGTCAACACAAAAAGAGAGTTATGTCCAAGGGAGCATTGGAGAATCACTTTTTCTGTCCAGTCGGACTCTTTCTTCCGACTTCTCTCGTATCCGCTGCTCCGCAGTCGCCTAGCACGACCGCGAGTCTGATTGATCCGTGGGTATCATGTGTACGTGTCCACATGCCAAACGTGCGCGCATATGATTTGTCACACGTGCATATGATATGTCACACGTGATTTATCGTGTGTAAGAAATATCGGCAATAAGAATCAAATGTCGTTTTTCAAACACCCACGCTATAACCGATACCTACTGTACATGGAAAGCCATGACGACAGCGACAAAACCGAAAGAAAGAAAACCTACAGTCAGCTCTAGGGTCTTTTTTCTAGTTAGGGGACTTCCGGCATTATCGATAATTTTCACGAAACGAAAAAAGTTTAGTTAGGACCTTCCCCCCCACCCACCCAGCCAGGATCAAGGAATGCCATTTCCAGTCACATGACCCTGGATAAGGAGACCACCTGTAGACGGAGACCACGTTTTGAAGGTCCCTTGAGCGGTCGTCTTAGACAGGTTTTACTGTATCTGCGGATATGAAGACTACAAAGCCGTCTCCCTAGACAATGACTGCGTTTCTCATCGACCACCGCACCGTAACTGTGTTCGCCAACAGATCTCGACACGACGAGGTGGAGGTCGGCTAGAGAGCGCAGTCGTGGTGTGGTGAAAAATTTGTACAGGGCCGAATGCTGCTGCTTACCCCCTTTATCTACTTGTAATATCCGCATTGACAAACAAAAACACTCACCTTCTCGCATGACCAGTCCGCTTGCGCGCATGGTCTTTGCTCGGCCTTGCGCCCGCAGCGGCACGGCTGCACGCTCTGCCGATCGCAGAGCTCGCACTCTCCGTCGTGACAGGGCCGAGCACAGCGATGTTGCCCGCACGCGAGCGGCTTGTCGCACGCCTTGTGGCACGACCAGCCGCGCGCCACACAGCGGCGTGTGGTCGGCGCGGACTTGCGGCAGAAGCAGCGCGACTGCACCATGCGAGGGCATGGCGGACATGGACCTGTTTGCACGGACACACACACATACATACACACACACACACACACACACACACACACACACACACACACACACACACACACGGTAAGACCGGTAACTAACGACCACCCCTTGGGGCCAGAGAAAGCAGTCTTAAGTGGCAGGTGGTCCTTAGTTAGAGGTTTGAACCGCACAACCATACATGAATGTGAGACTGTCCGCGCCTGACAAAGTGGTATGTAGCACCAGGCTGGTTGTTAGTCACGGTGGTCTTTAGTTACAGGTTTTACTGTAGTACCAGGCTGGTTGCTAGTCACGGTGGTCTTTAGTTACAGGTTTTACTGAAGTACCAGGCTGGTTGTTAGTCACGGTGGTCTTTAGTTACAGGTTTTACTGTAGTAGCAGGCTGGTTGCTAGTCACGGTGGTCTTTAGTTACAGGTTTTACTGAAGTACCAGGCTGGTTGCTAGTCACGGTGGTCTTTAGTTACAGGTTTTACTGTACATACACACATACACACTCATACTCTTGCCCATCACTGAAGCGAAGATAGCGAACGAACTACGTTAGACATAGCAACTTGTGCTGGGATTACACCATTCAACACGCACACACAGACACAGCACAAAGAAACACACCAGTGCTCAACATGTTGCTATGTGGCAGGCGCTATCATGCAGACGGTACAGGCAGAAACGTCATGCAGCATGGCATGGCTTCCAACAGCAGCAGCTTTCACCAACCCCACACGCGGAACCGAGTTGCCAGCAACGGTCCACATCTTCTTACCGGGATGGCAAAGTAGCATGCATGTGTGTCCGCACTGTGGATTCAGTTTCCTTTCGCACGTATTGCCGCATGAGTGAGGTGTCAACCACTCATCAAACTCTGGGTCGCGCTGCTGTCCGCAGTAGCAGAAGTAGAAGGAGGGTAGCTGTGTGCGAGGGTACTCGTGACGGCATTTAGGACTACATCAGAGTGGAACGGAGAGGGAGGGAGAGAGAGAGAGAGAGAGAGAGAGAGAGAGAGAGAGAGAGAGAGAGAGAGAGAGAGAGAGAGAGAGAGAGAGAGAGAGAGAGAGAGAGAGAGAGAGAGAGAGAGAGAGAGAGAGAGAGAGAGAGAGAGAGAGAGAGAGAGAGAGAGAGAGAGAGAGAGAGAGAGAGAGAGAGAGAGAGAGAGAGAGAGAGAGAGGGGGGGGGGAGAGGGGGAGAGAGACACACAGACAGACAGACAGACAGAGATGGCAAGCCCGTGAGAACAGAGACAGAACACAAACAGTACACACCAGTGCACTCATTGAGAGCGATCAAGGTCTGAAAACCCAACCACCCAACAAAATATTTTAGTAAACATTTTTTAAATCTTCACAACAAAATGACGCGGACAATTTTTGTAGTTACAGTAGACATCCTGTTGTTGGAGCGTATTCCCAACACCACATGCCCAGCCATGAATGTACAGCAACACAGCAAAACCTGCCTACAGTCCATTCATCGGAAACTGGCCCGCTGGCTTTTGAAAGTCCGATTTGGGCCGAATTGAGGATCAAAAACCCACTTAAAATCTCAAAAATCTGGGTTTTGGATCTGCTTCTCCACACATATACCTGTCCCAATTTTGTAAAACCTGGCTGAATTTCTATTTCTCTGTTCTTGGACTTTTCTGGCCTCAAATGTGGCTAGGAGTAATTGCACGGGTCACACAATGCAGGATGTACTGTTGTTTTCACGATATCTACAACTATGTACAGGAGACATCAAAAAGTTAGGGTGCCAGTTTCCAATGAATGGACTGTAGGCGACCACTCGGATCAGGCGACCACCTGTCCTAGAAGACCACTGCAACCAGGACCAAGGGATGCGATTTCCAGTCAATTGACCCTGGATACGGAGACCACCTGGCAACGGAGACCACGTTTAGAAGGTCCCTTGGAGCAGTCGTCTTAGACCGGTTTCAGTGTCATAAACAGGGGTACAGTATCCACGAACACAACACCTAGCTTGCATCAACACGTACCATGCCCAAAAGGAAGGGCCTTCAGCAGCAGCAGCAGCAGCGCCGCCATCACCAGCGTTGGCCGACCTGTTGACAAACACTCCTTCCTTGGCCCACTTCTGAGCGCACTGCAGATGCAGACTGCCGAAGCAGTTGCCACAGTTCCAGATCTGCCCGCGCGCGCGAGTACCGTTGGCCAGGAGTAGGGAGGACAAGAATAGATACACGGGCACACACACACACACACACACACACACACACACAGAAAGACACACACACACATACACAGAGCACGACATACAGACAAACAGACACACGGAAAGACAGACTGACTCGCACATGACACTGAACTTCCACAAAGAGTAAACACATGAGCAAAGAGATGACAATGCAGCACTGGCAGACACGGTCACTGAACCAATCCTTTCCCCAACCTCACTACGTCAAACGCACTAAGGACCAGTCAACAGCCTTACCGCGTCCTTTCTCTTGATGGTCTCGATACAGACTAGGCAGACATTGCCTCGCTTGCTGCACGCTTCAGAAAGCATGTGCAGCGTGGCGTCCACTTTCAAACTCTCCGCTCCCAAGCTAGGGTCAGCTGGCAGGTCAGCATCAAACAAGCACACAACGAAAGAAAGATAGAACCAGTGATGCAACGAACCAGGCTTTACGGACACATACCACCCAGTAGTATGGGTCTAGTCCTGACTAGAATACACCATACATGGGAACAGGGGGAAATCCCCCGCCATCAAGCAATGTAAACAGTGCTGTCATCATACGGGTACACGCACACACGCGTGCGCGCGCACGCGAACACACACACATACGCACACACACACGCACACACACAAACACACACACACACACACACATCTCTCACCATCCTTTGCTTGCTGGTAGAGCTTCAACGTCGAGTTCAGAATAGCCGCATCGTGTCTACCCGTTGCCATGGACACATCGGCGTCCTCATCATCATCCTCATCCGACGAGCTGCTAATGGCACCTTCCGTCTTCAACTGCGAAACCATGGCGACGGTGCGCTGCTGCACAGCAGCCGCCTGCTGTTGTCGTGACGATCCCAACGCGGACGCGGGCGGTGACGGCAATACGGATGCTGACGCCAATGCAGTCGCCCTTCCCGAAGCAGTGGGGACATCGGCCCCGGAACCGGACCTGTTCCCATCGTTGCTGCTGCTGGTCCCGGGCCGTTGTGGGGCGGATAGCCCCGGAGGGGGTCGAACACGTGCACCTGGACCTGGTCTCCCTTCGCCACGACCAGGGGGCTGAGGGATATCAAAAAACAAACAGCAGTGACAAAAGCAAAAGTGAAATCTTGAGCAGATTACAACATCTACATCACTGAGAAAGATGTTGAACTTCTTCAGTCTTCATTCACCATGCGCTCTGAACTGACTAACGCACTCTCCGTCCAACTCTCACACACTCTCTCAACAAAGGACCAGTTATAGGTATTCGATACTAATAGTTCCTCCTGGCAGCTGCTCCTTGCGACAGTACTGCTCACATTTTTGAAATTTATATTTCTGAATACTGTATAAGCAGAAATATTCGTCTGGAATTTAATTTCGTCTTTTTCGTCCAAGGAGCTTTTGGACTAAATTAAATGTAGGACGAATATCGATTTGTCCAGCGTTTCTATACACTCTTATGATCTATGGACGAAATTTTCAACCGGACGAACTCCTTTTCTTTGGAGTTGGACGAAATTATTGACCGACGAAATTTTCTGCCTCTACAGTACCCAATGTCCGGAGTGCTAATAATTAGCTGCTTCGTAATTGTTAGGTCACATCAGTGGAGCTGAGAATCACTGGGACATGTAGATCTGAATACACATGCAGGTGCATGCCGCGCCAAACCTGAGAGCACTACAACAATCACAAAGGCAGTGACTCCTAGTCTGTCCCCACAGGATAACGCGATTCCGTGGACGCGCAATTTTCCACGTTATCAACTTTCATTCGCGCTTTCGAATTTTTTTGCTCAAACCCGCGATATCCATGGGAATGTACAAGGTAATAGTGCATGATGTTGAAGATGTACAGTTGCGCTCACTGTTCCGTTTACATAATTGTATGTGTACATGTGTACGTCCAGCCGCATTCGTTACACTTCCAGGGTGTCAAGCGCCGGCCGTGGAAGTTGGGAGCGCCAGCTTTGCACGTTGGGTCGGGTTTCAGTGAGCGCAACTGTAGTACAAAGTCGTACCCGGCCACGAGTTTGTACAACAAAGTTGCATACTTGCATTTGCACGAAACTGTACGCTAAAGTTGTAGCGATGACAGGCAACCCGTACGTGCGTGCATATCGACCGCACTACAGTGGTCCCTCTGTAATCCGGCACCATTCGTGCTACAGAAATTCTGCTGCATTCGGGAGGGTGCTGGATTAGAACATCTGATTTACGCCTGCATTGTGCGTAAAAAGGACATTTTGGTAATTGAAAATTAGACGACAGCACTATACCGCATATTAGGCCTGTTTTCGCCCGCATAATTATGCGCATAATTTTAGGATTTTTGTCCGTGTTATTCTGTGTGGACAGCCTAGTCCACACAGCTCAGGTAGTAATCTGGCTGCATAGACAGTCTCTGACAAATCTAGGTGGTATTCGGTGCATGCAAACCAGTGTATGCCAGGGGCGTCGGCAGGTATTCGACATTGGTGCGGCCGCACGAGTAGGTGGGGGTCCGGGGGTCCTCCCCCGTAAAAATGTTAGGGAAATTGGCCCGAATAGCCCATAGTTTATTGCTTCAAAAGTCACAAGATAAAATTATTGGTGCGGCTTTGGCCGGACCTGCCGCACCGGTTCCGACGCCCCTGTATGCAGTAGTACCGTGGGACTCCGAAGAACTGACGGTCAGCCTCGTAGCGTACGCCGCTCTTATCTTTCATGTATTACAGTCTATGCCAGGACCGCCCGAAGCAGTTTTCAACTGGTCCGGTCGTACCAAAGTCTTACATACAGTGTGTGTATAATATGGCGGGGACCGTATGCCCTTCTCGGCAGTAAACATGCGTTGACAGCTAAAAAGTTGGTACGGTGATAACCTGACCAACCGGACCGGTTCCGGCGGGCCTGTACGCACAATTGAGTCACCGTGTATACAGTAAAATCTGTCAAGGCGACCACTCGGATAAGGCGACCACCTGTCCAAGAAGACCACTGAAACCAGGACCAAGGGATGCTATTTCCAGTCAAATGACCCTGGATAAGGAGACCACCTGGTAACAGAGACCACGTTTTGCTGGTCCCTCGAGCGGTCGTCTTAGACAGGTTTCACTGTACATTGGTTTGATGTGCTTGGTGTAATTCAAGCCTGGTCGCTCTGTGGCACCCGGCAGCACTGTAGTGCAGCGTGATGAGATATCCTTGCTGTAGTGTATGTGCTGATGACGATACACTCAGGGACATTTCTTACGTCATCATTATCGTATTGACGTCACACCATGCGCAGATCATTTTAGTATGTCTGCCTTTTCGTATTGACACACGTGTCTCCTTGTTCTTGTTCCGTTGACTTATTTACTTGCGATTGCAGTTGGTCTTCTTCTAGTCTCCATGTAATCGATCATAGAATAAACCGAACCCCGTCTCTAGCTGAGACACTACACTTGCATGCTGCCGCGACAGAGGCAAGCAGGGGACATAGTCAGCTGTGTAGTGAATCTAGATGTGTAGTGATTCCACTGTCAGTTTTCTCAAGTGTTGCAAAACAAACCTAGAAACGACAATGAAGATGTCTCCAATTAATTTTATTCATGGATGGATGGAGAGTCCCTTCTGTAGGGCTTCATATTTTTTATCTAGCTTGAAATTCTTTCTATCTAGATCGAATGCCAGACTACACGACTCTAATTTAACAAAATTTCGGTGCTTTCAGCGCATTTCTGGTGGTTTGCCCTCGTAGCTAAATTTTTGAGCACCTAAAATTTCTGAAATTTAGAGTACTCGTACAATTCTTCCAATCAAGTCGGGTGAATTCCGCCTCTACAGCTCAGATCAGGGATTATTTGCACCACTCACCCTAGATTGGCCACGACCACGACCTCGCCCGCCACCAAGATACAGCGGCGGTGTGCTCATTGTACACTCAACTACAATTGTGCAAACTTTACACACCTACAAAGGTATGTACATCTCGTTGCCTGAGCGGGGGTAAATCTTTTCGACCTCTCCGGCCCGGAGGATGTGCAGGTTGTTCTCAAAACAATTGAAACCAACTCGAAATCTCAGAGAGCGACAACAACAAACAACAAAACGACGTGCACTGAACGAGTCAAGACAAACTCAAAACAGACAAAAGAAAGTGACGAGCTAGCCATGCCTAGCCACTCGATCGTTTTTCAAAACAATTCAAAAACTTTTCATGCAGCAATATCAAGACAAGAGTGTTTTATGGACTCTTGCCGTCTTGGCAATATCTATAAAAAAAATTAAAGATTTCTACGAGTGATCGTGAATAGCCTGGACACGAAAATAAAGATAGAGGCCCATGCCCACTGCACTACGAAACAAGTACAGTACGAGTACAAGTAGTGTAGCACTGGCTGTGTGTATTTGCTGTGTACGTGATGTGATAAGGCGCGCATGCGCGCCTGGGCTCGTGGCTGGTTTTGCATGCTTGCTGTGCTGGACTAGGTCCGAGAATGTGAGCTCTCTTTTCCTTGTCTTTCTGTTCCTTGATTATTACAATAACTGTACGAACCTGAGTAATGCTGTGTGTGGGCCCTTAGGGCCAGACATAACAATTGGCGACGAAGATGGCAGGACGCAACTCCAGATTAGAAATTTTCGAAACTGGGGATTTTGACGAGTATGCAGAGAGACTCAATTTTCATTTTCTGGCTAATGACATTGGCCAAGTTGCAGACGATGCAACCGAGACAGTACAGACAGCGGCAGACAAGAAAAAGTGCGCCGTGCTGATTAGTCAACTATCCGGTCAGGTTTATTCCACACTGAAGAATTTGTGCCTCCCAGATAAACCAGGGCAGAAGAAGTTCGAAGAGTTGCTGAAGCTCCTCTGTGATTATTTCAAGCCCAAGATTAGTGTAGTTGCTGCTACCTATCAATTTCAGAAAACCCTGCAGAAGGAGGGCGAGTCTGCGATCATGTTCGCGGCTCGATTGAAACGGGCAGCCATGGACTGCAAGTTTGAAGCTTATCTCGACAGGGCCTTGCGTGACCAGTTCATCACTGCGATCGGTTCTACCAGCACGACGAAGGAAATCCTGGCGAAGGCTGAGGAGACGACAACATTTCAGCAGGTTGTCGACATGGCCACGGCTCATGAGACAGCTTTCCGCGAGTCTGAGAAGTTTTCAACGCAGGTTCATGCAGTACGCGGAGAGCCGGGGCTCGCCGACAACGCCACGTTCAAATCTGACAAGCCCTGTTTCCGCTGTGACAAGCTGGGACATCGACCGGATGAGTGCCACTTCAAATCTGCGAAGTGTCGTGCTTGCGGCAAACTGGGACACATCGAACGAGCCTGCCTAAAGAAGAAAGCGGCCAGGTCCGTCAAGCATGTCGGGACAACATCAAACCCCGGTGAGCTTGTTCCTTGTAATGATTCTGTACCGATGTTGAATGTGAATGCCACCATGAGTGACAGAGCTGTAGCACCGTACACTACGCCTGTCGAGCTAAATGGGGTCCAGGTGCACTTGGAAATTGATACGGGTAGCACCGTCACACTGCTAGGAAAAAATGATTTTCTGAAATGCAATGGCTCCGTGTCTGAGCTGGTACCGTCCAGCATCACCCTATCTACATACACAGGAAATCCAATCAAATGTCTGGGTGAAATCGAAATGAAAATGGCTTTGGGTGGTGTAGAGGAGAATGTTCTGGTCAGAGTTACTGAATGTGATGGTCCGTCTCTCTTAGGCCGGGATGTCTTGTCCAGATTTACTTTGCCATGGAAATCTATATTCAAAGTGGGCACTGGCGGGCAATCCACTACCGATTTCGTTAAGAAATACCCGAATCTGTTTGACAACTCCACTGTGGGTACGGTGCAAGGGGTGCAAGTAAAGCTGCACGTGTCAGATGAACAACCGGTCTACAAACGAGCAAGACCAGTACCTCTAGCAATTCGACAGCGGTACATCGACGCGTTGAACAAACTCGAGGCTGATGGGGTGATTGAGAAAGTGACGCATTCCGAATGGGCCTCACCAACGGTACAAGTAGAAAAACCAGGAGGAGGATTACGGATTTGCGCAGATTACAGTGGGACTATTAACAAGCATTCAGAATGTGAACAGTACCCACTCCCCACCCTCGAGGAATTGTTGCACAAGTTGGGCCCGGGAGGGAAGTTTACCAAACTCGACTTGTCCCAAGCATACCACCAGCTAGAGGTAGCACCGGAAAGCAGGAAATACACCACCATCAACACAATTCAGGGCCTGTACCAGTACAAACGCTTACCGTTTGGTTTCCACAGTGCCGTATCCATTTTCCAAAGGGTAATGGAAGAAACCTTGGTTGCGCTACCAGGCAGCGGCGGGTACATTGATGATGTGCTGTGTACCGGGGAAAATGATGAAATCCATGAGGAAAACGTGGACCGGGTACTCCATCGACTGGATGAGAAAGGTTTCAAATTGAATCCGGAGAAATTCTGTTACATGGCTGAGGCACTCTCTTACTTAGGTCACACGATCAGTGGGCAGGGCGTCTCCCCTTCAACAGCCAGGATACAGGCACTGAAAATGGCCAAACCACCACAGAATGTTGCCGAATTGCAATCTTTCATCGGTTCTGCAAATTTCGTGCGGAAGTTTGTGCCTCATTTCGCAGAAATTGCAGCTCCTTTGTACGACCTCTTGAAAAAGGGTGGGAAATGGCACTGGGAGACCACTCACGAGCAAGCTTTTGGCAAATTGAAAGATGCTATGTGTTCAGAAGCCCTACTGGCACACTATGATTTACAAAGGCCAACAGTGTTGCAAGTGGATGCTTCGGGAGTGGGCCTTGGCGCAGTCCTACTGCAGAAGCAGGAGAATGGCGAATTACGACCGATCGCATTCATGTCGCGTAAGCTGACCCCAGCAGAGTCACGCTATGCTCAAATTGAAAGAGAAGCATTGGCTGTGGTGTTCGGAGTGACCAAATTTCGCCAGTACCTACTCGGTAGAGAGTTCATAGTGGTCACTGATCATCGGCCACTCTTGAAGTTACTGGGAAATCACGAGGATGTCCCCACTCTCGCCTCTAATCGAATCAAGAAATGGGCATTGCAACTGGCGGCATATGATTACGAAATGCAGTATCTCGCGGGGAAAGAAAACGTCCATGCGGATTTTCTCTCGCGACAACCAATGCAATCTGTGTCACCGAGCGAGGAGGAGACCGTCACGGTACAGGTCTTGCTTATCGAGAACGACTCAATAATCAAAGCAGCTGTGGTGAGAGCAGAATCGGCAAAGGATTCTGTATTGGCTAAAGTAATTCGCTATACGGTTCATGGGTGGCCTGCTGAAATTGAGGAAGACCTCAAGGCATATGCTAGCAAGAGAATGGAATTGTCTGTGGAGAATGATATCTTGTTATGGGACAACCGGGTGGTGATTCCTAACTCACTTCGAATGCTCTTGCTACGAGATCTGCATGCAGAGCATTTTGGCATGGTGAAAATGAAGCAAGTGGCCCGGCGCTACTTGTGGTGGCCCAATATTGACCAGGATATAGAATCTAAAGTCAATGCGTGTTTGCAATGCCAAGAGAATGCCAAATGCCCACCGGCAAAACCCGGTGTTTGGTCATGGCCGACGGGTCCATGGAAACGGATACACATTGATTTTGCCGGGCCATTTCTGGGAAAAATGTTCTTGGTGGTGGTAGATGCTTACTCTAAGTACTTGGATGTAATACCCATGGCTCATGCAACCAGTGCGACCACGATTTCTGCTTTACGCCATCTGTTTTCTGTGTTTGGTTTGCCTGAGCACTTGGTTACAGATAACGGCAGTCAGTTCACGAGTGCGGAATTCCAGGCGTTCCTGGATGGCAATGGCATTCTACACACAACAACGGCACCAGGTCATCCAGCAACTAATGGCCTCGCCGAACGCTACGTTGGCGTCTTCAAGCAGAAGATGAAAGAAATGTCGAATACTGGTGAACCACTCAACGTCAGGCTCGACCGGTTTCTCTTAGCGCATCGAACAACGCCGACCACCAGTGGGAAGACGCCGGCGGAGCTGTTAATGGGCCGGCAACCGAGAATCCGGCTCAGTGCATTGCGGCAGTCTGAGAGTCATCGGCAGGTCAAGGTGTACCAGGAGAGCTTGACTACGCCAAAGTTTAACACCGGTGACGCTGTGTTCGCCCTGAACTTTGGTCGTGGAGCAACTTGGGTACCAGCTACTGTAGTGCATGTCCACAGCCCTCACAGTTTCGGAGTACAGGTGGATGATGTCGTCTGGAAGCGCCATAGGGACCAACTACGACCGCGGGCGGTGCAGTTTGGCCAAGTACCCGTTTCGTCTTCTGCGGACCAGGCGGTCGCACAGCTGCCTACACCGACCAGTGACCCGCCGACAGTGCTAGATTCTCCTCTACCACTTCCGGACGCTAGCAGCAACAGTAGCACTGTCAGGCCGGATGATACGCTAGCACCAGCAGCAGACGCCGTTGGAGTCGAGACGGCTCCCAGTGTTGTTGCACCGGCACCCTTGCGTCGCTCCGACCGACATGTCTCCGCGCCCAAGCGCTTGATTGAGAACTGCTAAGTATCCGTACTATTGCCTTTGAGTATGTATTGCTTGTCCTGTTACTTTGATCTGATGCGGCCTGAGAGTAGGAAGTGGACATTTCTGGGCCAGATGAATATTCTACATGTAGGTCATGACGAACAGTCTTCACATAAGATTGTTTTCGTTTAATTCATTGAAACATTTGCATGGTTCCTTTTCCGATCTGATCTAATTCCCCAACGCTATGCAATATTGGCTGACTTTATCTGTCATTCCTACCTCGATCTATAGCTCAGCTCTCATGGACTATTCTGGAAGCTGCAGTAACTGTTATAAGTATATGTGTGCAATGTTTTTGAACTTTTTTGCTTTTGTATTATCTGGCCGTGTAGTGTCAACAGCTATATCTGTCGGCGCCAAATTTGAGTGCCTCTTTGCTTATGTTATAATTTTACCCCGGGAAAAATTCTTGGGGGGCGATTGCTGTGTACGTGATGTGATAAGGCGCGCATGCGCGCCTGGGCTCGTGGCTGGTTTTGCATGCTTGCTGTGCTGGACTAGGTCCGAGAATGTGAGCTCTCTTTTCCTTGTCTTTCTGTTCCTTGATTATTACAATAACTGTACGAACCTGAGTAATGCTGTGTGTGGGCCCTTAGGGCCAGACATAACAGTATTACATTTTTTCATATCTTTTTGTGTCTATTGACTATTGTATGGCCTAATCCTTCATCTTTCCAAATAATATTTTACTCAAAATTCAAAATTCTCATGCGACATGGTACCACAAAACTCGTTGAAATGCCTCCCAAGAAAAGGCTATAAACAAGGCACCGACACGAGGAGAAACTACAACAGCCCAGCTGTCAACTGCAACAAGAAAAAACTTCATCAACCTGACTGACTTGACTCTACACGCGGCGAAAAATTATTTTACTCGAAATGTCCAGAAATAGCAATTCACCTCGTACATGAAAAAATGTCATTGAGCCAACGACACTACTAGTACATTTTTTGTACAGTAACTGAGTTGGCAACACCACGGCCACACGTGTGTGAGTGCACCAGGAAGTCATACAACTCCCTGGTATGGCATATGTGCGTGTGTGCGTGCGTGCACATATCATGTGCACGCACGCACACACGCACATACACACGCCACACACACACCTTGAAACCTTGAACTGCCACCTATAAGGCTATAGCCTAGTAAAGGTGATGCAGTGCCTCAAAGAGGCAAGGAGGGCAGAGTTACTTCTTGCATTTGTGTTGAGCCAGGTACTGGAGACGTGTGAACTTCCTAGAGCAGGTCGGGCATGGGATGGTGCGGCGCTCGGAGCCAGAGCTGCATGTTCTGCGGTTGCAGTTGTGCCGGCGGTGCCCAGCTTTGCTCCGGAAACAGCGGTAACAGGTGTGGCAGTGGTTCTGACAATGGCTGCAATCAGGTGGGCGAGGTGCAACTATCTCTGAAACTGGAGCGTCGTCAAGGCTGGGAGAGCAGCTGTGCACAGCAAATCCACCTTGGCTAACAAACCAACGATGGCACGTTTCGCACAACACAGCACCGGCCTGTTCATGTATCGGCTTCAGTCGCTCTTCCCTGCATTTGTGCCGCCGAAGTCCGCTTTCACTGGCGAAGAGTCGCTCACAGATCGCACAACACACTGACTTGGCTGTCGTTTCAAGGCGTAAGCGCCGTGCAACAACACACACACACACACACACACACACACACACACACACACACACACACACACACACACACACACACACACACACACACACACAAACACCCCCCCCCCCCCCACACACACACACACATTCTGCCGCACAGTCACAACTCCCAGCAAGCTCTCTAGCTGTGTAGTAGTAGTAGTCAGTTTATTAGTCTAACAATAAACAAACCTCTGCACTGCATATACAGGTGATACTGCATGGAGGCAACGGCAATCGCAAAGCGCAGAAAATAAAGATACCCGAGCAAAGCCGGAACGAAAATAATTATCAGCATCAACTCAAGGAAATCATCAGGTCAGCTGTTCTTCCAAGCAGAAAATAATATAAGTTGTCATAACGACGTAACGAAGTAATGTATGCACCGCACAGTGCAAAATAATATAAGTTGTCATAACGACGTAACGAAGTAATGTATGCACCGCACAGTGCACGCAACGAGAAAAGCATGCATACCTTTGAGCAATGCCGGACTATTCCTAAACAGCCTAAATAATGTGGGGAACTATGTGCAAAGCGCAAAAATGTCAAAAAAAAACAAGCGCCCGTACATACGAGCACGCGCACACACACACGCGCGCGCGCACACACACACACACACACTCTCTCTCTCTCTCAACTTCAGTAACTGCAAAACTACACAGGATTCACGATCAGCACAAAGATCACAGGAGGCAAATTAGAGCAAAAAAGGCCTGAAAGAATAAAAAATAAAAACTGCACCTGTCAGAACGGAGGCAAGGTTAGGTTAGGAAAATGAAAATGTCTATAAATTATTAAAATCCCCAGACCGAAAGCGCCCACTGCACCGTAGCAGGGAGGATGGTTGCATAATATACGGTTAAAACTCTGTGAATTGTGGAAGAAAACACCACGATCGTTTTGCAGTAAAAAAATACTCTTAATAGTCTCATTATGACAATGGTGGCGTGGTGTAGTGAAGGGTAAGAAGGAGACCATTCGTGAATGGAGTGCGTAAAGGAAACCACGCTATGCCGGGTCTCAACAGGAGTGAAAAAAGTCTCTCGAGCACGACTCAGCGAGGACGAAAAGAAAGCAGGAAAAAGACACGCGTTATAACGCACGTACGTGCGAAGTAAACAAAGGTCGAAGCATTTCCCCCAGGCCGTAGGTGATCGGAATGATCCCTAACAGACACACCGGCCGGCGTGCGCCGAACGGCTGCCAGTACTCACGTCGGGCACGCGGATTCCAGGCTACGGATATGGTGTAATCTGCAACATTCTGATTTCTGACCAAGGTGTGGGGGTGACTTGGACTAGCTTTTGTTAAACTAACCATCGCGAGCGGCGGTGATGTAGCCAAATCCGCCTACAATGCGTCCGAAAACCTGCGGAGAGACTTGCGAATGGAACGCTTCAGAGACTGTGACAGACCTGGAAGCAAGATGAAGGAAAGATGAATACACAGAGGAGGAGATTCAGGGCAAGTTCGATTCTTACAACCTAGAACTGAACTACTAGTATAGGAAAGGGAGAAAAAACGGGTGCAGCAAGGCTGTGGTCACAGATGTACTTTTTTTGGCAGCACCGCCAAAGCGTAACTTACGTCTCCTCCGTTGCTGTGGCAACGGAGGAGGCATATGTTGCGCTTTGGCGGAACGCTTGGATTTCACTGCGCCAAAAAAATGCGAGCGGAACCTGCATGGTGATGCCTTTGATGTGCTACTAGTACCACTGGCGTTGTTTGGTTGCTGTTTGGCGTTTCTTTTCATATTGTTCTTCTTTGCCAATGTAGTGTGCGTTCTGGATATCTCGCAAACGATACTGCATCGTTATGAGGGGGTGATTGGCGAGGAAATCCGTCTCCAATTCCTTGCCGGGGCCCGACCGCGGACAAGGAGAGACGAAGTTTCTCTCTCCAAGCAATACGTCCACCAGAGTACGCAACACTACGACGGTAACCAGGGAGTAGTAGAGTACTCTGCCACTCCCTCACTGCAACTCCAGGCATCCACACTACAATGGTCGATGATGGATCATGGAGAAGGCACTGACACTCTGCTATACAACCGTTCGAATTCGATATCAATGTGAACTAAAACTAAAAATACAGCCGTACTGGGGTGCCCCAAATCCATGAGAGTGCATGACAGCCTACACAGGAGCTAGGAGACATTCAGCAGAACCCTGAGTACCTCAATCAATATAAGGAAATGACGGCGCGCTCCCAGGGTTACACCCCTCCCCGAAAAAAAGAGCCAATGTTGTTCCAATCATCGTGTCCAACAGCAAAAGAAATAGATGGTGGTTCACTGCCCTGGCCATAATCCACCAATGGGACGCATGCATGCATTTCCCGCCACCGTTCGGTTTTGCAGGGCAAGTCCCCTGCAACCGTACACACTGTGATACCAGCTCTGCATAAAAAGTATTAAATGAACTTTGTACAGTCATACTGACATAAATGTACTAGAACGGGTTGTTCCTGCCACAACTGGGGCAACTTGCCCCGCAAAAGGATACTGTAATTTCACAAATTTTCGGTACTTTCAGTGCATCTGTTTCATACCTAAAATTTCTCAATACACCGAACAAACACTAACACACATAATCCAATAGGGAACTGCTTTTCTGTACCTAAAAGTTCTGTTCACCTAACCTGGCCTTTTGCCCTCATACCGAAAATATTGAGCACCTAAAATTTCTGAAATTAGAGTACCTCCCATTGACAAAATCCTCAGCTGAAGCACGGTAGTGAAGCGTCAAGTCACTACGTTGCCCAAATTCGTTTCATCTGCAGAAATGGGCGGCTGAAAAAAACTGAAAAGGTCCGTGTTGAAAACAATGGGCGATAACCCGGTGCAAGTCGCGTCTTGTACAGAGATGCACGTGATTGCAGTGTATTGTGCTTACCTCCCCGGCTGTTTCTTGTGATCTTCTTGGTCTCGGAGAGCGCACCAATGTCACTGGCCCCGCTGGTGCTGGGCAGCACGCCAGCAGAGGACTGAGTGTGGCTCAATATTGACGTGGAGGAGACTGTTGAGCGGACAGAGTACACGTCGCCACCATCCACGGATGTGAACATCGATTCCCTGTCCGAAGCAAACTGCACCACACTATTACCTACAGTGGATCAGAGAGAAACATCAAGAGAGGGAGTGAGAAAGGGAGAGAGAGAGAGAGAGTGTGTGTGTGTGTGTGTGTGTGTGTGTGTGTGTGTGTGTGTGTGTGTGTGTGTGTGTGTGAACAACGAGGGAGCGTCTTGAGTTCAAGTTCTGCTGTGGGTGTGGCGAGAGATATCGCAGACAGCAGGATCTGCAGCGGCATGAGGCCGGATGTTCTGCGGCGGGAGACTGCCGCGACGTCGTGATACTACCCCTTTGTTCCCCTCCTCATGAGGGCAGCTTAGCCGTTTAACGGCAGCTGTTTGTCAAGGTCAAGGTGTGTGTGCGCCCGTGCGCGCATATCGTATGTGAGCACAGGAGTGTCACATATGGTCCGACCGTGGGTCCGACCACGGTCGTACCACTTTTCGTCGGATGTGGTCCGACCAATTCATCCCAGAAAGCAATAAGAATTTCATAGGATCATGCACTTGTGATGTCCCCAGAGCCCCCCCCCCCCCCCCCCCCCCCCGGGAGGTGTATGTATTCATTGTGGAAACTATCCTAAGGTGATTGTGATGCCACCCCCACCACCACCACACACAAATACTTGCCGCCACACGCATAAACACTTGCTATTTCTCGTGTGCACAAACAACGTCTCGCCATCTCGCTGTGGAGAGGCACCACACCCCTGCAGGCACAAAGTCCGCACAACCATCACACAAAAATTCTGCTACTGCTCGTTTACAAACAACGTACCGCCATCTCGCTGCGGCGAGGCACCACGCCCGACGGCGGGCCGGAACACGGTGGCCGCCTCGTGTATGGACCTCTTGCTGATGGCCTCACACGCCTCACCATCGCCACCAGCCCCAGCAGCCTCGGTGGCAATGTCGCTCATGGACGAGCGCATCGAGCCGCTGGGAGTGTCGTAGAGCGGCGCGAGTCGCGTGTCCGAGGACGAGCTCGTAAGGCTGGAGCGGCTGCTCCTGCGGTTGCCGCCGTCCGCGGTGATGCTAGACGATGGCAAGGACAGGCAGTGCTTGATGGGCATCTTGTGCATCGAAGAAGATAGATCAGGCGCTGGAGCCTGCAGCACAACGGAGTACACACGCACACACGCACACACACACACACACACACACACACACACACACACACACACACAAGATTTTTTTTTATTTTTTTTTTATTTTTTTTTTTTTTTTTTTTTCTTATTTTTTTTAAATTTTTTTTTTATTATTTTATAATATCTTTTATAATATTTTATTACACGTAGGACTCACAAAATTCACAGTTCGCTTGAAACACAATTAGACTGGGTTCACCTTTTCAGCACCCACAGGAACGCCACCACCCTGCAAAGATCTAAGGCTTCAAGCAGGTGTCTTTAACATTACTCTTTATGCACACTGCACCTAGGTTGTGCGCACTACGCCAGGTCCCGCCTCAGGTCTGCGCCAAAATCTGACGTAATCCCGGAATATCGCCGTGACAGACACCCGTGCAGAAAAATTCAGAAGCTGCACGCCCTTGGTTTCATGAACTTTTTCTTGATGAGAGAGAGAGAGGGATCAGGCAGTAGACAGATGAAGTAAAGAAACAGTGACGACACAGTCAGTGACGTTGATGCACCATTAAACATAGGTTTACAGGACGCTGCAGCAAGCGGAATCCTGTCTGGATCAGGAAAATTTTCATGCACCGACCGTTTGCCGTAGAAAACTCACCGCAACAAGCGGACTAGGGGGGGGGGGGGGGGGGGGAGGGCCAAATCCGGTTTTTACCTGTCACAGGCGAACTCCGTACCATACCGTATGAACTTTTACATGTGTGTGGAGGATTTTAGCAGGTCACGGACATACATGTACCTTTTCTATGTGCATAAAGAAGCCTATTGACTTGATTGAAGCATAGAGCCAAAGATAACGTCGTGCTGATCAATTTGACACGCATACTACGGGTCTTGTATGCCTCCCTGTATCAAGAGGAATCCCTTCGTGCCAGGAGAGATTCCACTGCACCATTGGCATCCGGTAAAGACAGGTTTGGTTGTACTGGATAATTTATACCGGTAGCAGTTCGCCTTGAGCTGAACATGCCTTGTCCAAACTGAACAGCAGGGCATCAAGGGGTTGGAGTTCACGTACCAGTAACATTCACGATCGTGCCTTGTCCACACTGCACGACAGGGCATCGAGGGGTTGGATTTGGTTCATGGCCAATGTGGCTGAGTGTCCCATGCCGACACCGAACGGCATGGCACCAGAGGGTTGGATTTCACGCACCACTAACATGCATGAATATGCCTTGCCTAAATTGAGCAGCACGACATCAAGGGGTTGGATTTCGGCAGGGGCGTAGCTCGCAGGTCTCGTGGTGTGGTGACCAAGTACATGTACATGGACCACAGGAAACCTCATAGTCACCATTTTTCCGACTTCAACTATAATAGTACACATGACAGCCATCGTTGCGCATACATGTAGAGGCGACGGTTCGATACCGGAACGGCTTGACAGCCAAATCTGTATAGACCCAAACCGATCATCAGCGTTGATTTTTCACTCGAAATATGTTTGTGGAAGGAAACTGGCATGTTGAAGTTTGCTCTGGGGCCAGAGTCAATCGAACTGAGCCACTCCTTTGTGTTGACCCATTGCCTCCAAGTTGCCCAATTTTTCGCTTCAAATCAGAGGTGGCTCCAAACCGGACACGTTTTAGAGTGCACGTCAAATTCACTCTGGGTCTGAAATTAGGTAATTGCTATCGCTCCACGACGGCCAGTACAGAGTAACAATAAGCCTTATGTGTGCTTCCATTAGTTTTGATTGGTATGCGGTGCTATATTGGCGAGAGGCGAGCCGCTGTTTACCTGCGACAAGAAGTTGATTTCTCGAAAGTCGTAAAACTCAAGTCGCAGTGTGAAGCAACACGTCAAAAACTCACCTGCTTGGTATGGCGCTTCTGGTCATCGCAGGGCCATGAAATTTTGGCTCGGTGTATAACACATCGTAGTCTCACTGTGACATATGTTTTCTAATCGAAATACCAAGAGAGAAAGTGAATATTGAGTCCGTTCCGGTTTGCAACCTATGTCATATTTGAAACCGTCGCCTCTACACGATGAAGGTTTATCTAATACCGTACATGTACATGACTGGATAGAGTGCTTTATCTAAATGTCCATGCATGTACTTGTCTAGAGTGCTTTCACATCGGTCACGTGACCATACAGGACAGCCATGTTGGTTCCAACTCCACTCAACCGTCTTGCATCTAGGGGTCACGTGATGTCGGCCATGTTTATTCCACTGTCCACACTCCGCATGCCATGATCACTTTCTACACAACTGTAGTCATGTGACAAAGATGAGAACCACTCTATACTCATACAGGCATACATGTACACACGGCCACGGACACATGTTGTAACTATTGTCGACTAGGGCCCGGTGGATTCTGCCGGCAGAAAAAATTGGCAGAGTTCGGTACTTTTTCTGGTAAGTTTCATGCATGTTTGGTACGTGGATAAAAAAATGGAGCAGGATTCGAGGAATTGCCCGCCATAAGGTTTGTATGGTTCGGCCAATTTCACTGCTTTTCGAGCAGAATCTGCCACCTTTTCGAGCAGAATCCGCCGGTCCCTATCGTCGACACACTGAATAGCGTCGTAGAGCTTCACGACACGTACATCCCAAACTTTACGCTCTGAGGCCCTCAGTACCATCAAGTCATCAAAACCCACGGTGTGCAAAATCCCCGGAAGCAAAGCTAGACTTGACGGGCTATCGATGAATGCGGCGCTGGTTTGTCGATGGAGAACTAAGCCCAGCTTCTGTGAGCAACTACAAAACTACAAAACTGCAATGCTTGTTGTTTTCAATGTGTCTTTTAGCATGTGTTAATGATCAGTTGATGGCTGGTCTCGGGGAAATTATTTTTTCTCCAGCCCAAGTTTCTCAAGTGAGGAGAAACGGCGAACTTTTAAAATCCTGTGGCCCAATGTAGCCAACGCTTGATTAGAAGACCTGAGGACTACTTGTGAGCTACTGACAGTACTGTCCTTTGCCGCGAGCAGGGAGTATTGTTCTGCATTGGCAAAATGCTCGATGTGTGTTCAACTTACCGAATCAGAAGATGGGCTTGACTGCTTGAGTCCTTTCATTCCTTTCACCCCGCAACGCGGGGCCCGTCCAACATACAATGGCTTTGCCATAACCAGCTTTACTTCACCACGGGGAGGACAGGCACTTCAGGCATTGCGATGCATTCTCCTTGCTGGACAGCCGTCCGGCCAACGCCTACTACGACCTGGGTAGGGTCACTTCCTAAATCTGGTTGACACGACCAAGCCTCAAGATCACTACAGGAAGTAACGAGTCACGCAAGGTCGAACATCGATCGCGAAAGGGGATCTCTGTGCGGGTGTGACGGCCAGAGCAGACTACAATTTTTGTAGACTGCAGACTGCAGAGCTAGAGGGACGTGGGATCAGCTCCAGGGCCAAGGGATCATCGGAGTAGGTTTACAACTCACGTGGCGAGTGTGTGCAGTGCATGCAGCATGTCTGTGGTCGAGATCGAGAGTTGTAGTACGAGTAGAGTAGATCTACGACTCCGAGGAGTAGACTACGCTATACGAGTTGTACCAAGACGGCAAGAGTACATAACTTCTTCTTTTTTTTTCACTGTAAACAACCCCATATACTCTTGGTTGTACGGAGACTCGGACTCGGATCGGAGGCGGTGATCAGTGTTGTAGTGACTGTCCGATCGCCAGTTGTGCGTTGACTTGTCATGCTATGAAGTGTCACAGGTTCCAGCGGCTACTGCACTGAACTGAACGTCTGAATAAGAAGTGAAGTAGACGAAGTCAGAAGACAGTTCTCGCTTTCACAGTAGATACGAGCAGATGAAAGGAAAATTTCGTTCCACGAAAATAATTGCATGCAGACTCGAGAGGCGCTACATACAGGCTAGGCTAATGTCGTAAAGAGAGAAGGCTCTTGGCGTCGTGTCCACAGTTCCAACTACACTGGCTGGAATACGGGTAACGGCGACGGTATATCAAGTCATTGTAGTACTACACATTGTACTTTGTAGTGTCAAACAGTTTGGGGAGCTCAGTTTGCAACCCATTAATTTTTATTTTGAAAGAGCGGACTACAAAGTCCAGACAGTAGCCTGAGTAGGCTACACCTTCTAACAGGTACTAGGTACAATAGCCAAGTGCTGCTGCCCTGTCGGTTTTCCAACCCCCAGGGCCAAGAGAGAGGTTTCGAGCATGTCTGCCGCCGCCGCTGCTGTGTTTCAAGCTGGGCGATCTTGCCGCATTGGTGGACGATTCAGTCAATCAAAGCTGCTGCATTCGATTGTCAGTTCGCAGCCGATGCATTCAGCGAGTGCTGGATCTCAACAGTGCAGAGAGATGTCTTCTTTTTTCTTTTCTTATAGTTCAAGTACATTTTCTAGCAGCGGCAGTCCGGTTCAGAACGGCGAACGCGCAGACATCGACAGTAGTGCAGCGAGCGAAGCCAGACCTCCCGTTGTGTTTGTTGTCGGAGCTGGCGATGCCACTGGCGCAGCGGTCGCACGGCGTTTCGCACGCGACGGCTTCACGGCGTGCGTGTCGCGGCGACCCCGTCACGCTGCTCAGCTCCAGGATCTCACAGAGAGCATTCGCAGCGCGGGCCATCGCGCCGAGAGCGTTCCTCTGGACGCGCGCAAACCGGACGATGTGGTCGCTGCCGTGGACAGGATTGAACGAGATGTGGGGCCTATCGAAATAGCGGTGTTCAACATCGGTGCGAATGTGAAGTTTGATACAGTAGATACGACCCCAAGAGTATTCATGAAGGTATGTACAATAGACAGTCGACCTCGTGAATAGCGAACGACCTAGGGCATAAACTTATAACAACAACTCGCGACAATCTTCGGACCTAGTGATCCTTTTGACTGCGAATTCAAATAAAAAACAACAACAGCTGCATGTTCTCAACATTACAACTTGCGCGTAATGACGACTCTTTTCGCATCGCTGGACGCTAGAATCTCAGATGCCCGACTGCAATATTACAGATGTATAGAGGTGATGCGAATAATTTCATGGGGGTAAATCACCGCTCGCTGTGGCTAAGTGTACAGTGGAATCACTTATGGGCGCTATGTAGCATGCAGCGTGAGTCGCTAGTGTGGCGCTGTGCCACGACTTTGCCAAAGCATTTCAATCGATTATGCTATCGCATTACCGCTATAGCGAGAGGCGCATGTTGAGTGTGTGTGTGTTTGTGTGCGTGCGCGCGTGTATACGTGCGTGTGTGCCTGCACGTGCGTGTGCACAACTGCAGGTGTGGGAAATGGCCTGCTTTGCCGGATTTCTCGTCGGCAAGGAATGCGGACAGCGTATGAAGCAGCGAGGACACGGAACTATCATATTCACAGGTAAACGGCTACAGTAAAAGCTGGTGTAAGCGACCTCTGGGTTTATCGACCGCCTGCTCTTAACGACCGTTTTTCCATGCACGGACAGTTCTACACAGACACTGTGGGGCCTGGTTCTACAGACCACCTGGCTTTAACGACCGCTTTTGCTTGCACCGTGGGGTGGTCGCTTAAACCAGGTTTTACTGTATATAGAAAAGTTGGTCGCTCCCTAAAAAAACTTGGACTTTCAGGCACGTACATGTACGAAGAAACCACCAACTGCATGCTCCTTCCTAATGTAGGTTCAGGGGTATCGTATGACGTTGCACATCACTCTGTGTAGTGGCATGACTCTGCATTCGTCACAGGTGGCTGTGCCGAGTCTGTCTTCGCTTATACTGGCTTGATTTACACTTGGCTTGTAGTCCTGGTTACTGCCCTGCCCGTGATCTCATTCTTTAACGCTGGTTTTGCTGTGTGTGTGTGTGTGTGTGTGTGTGTGTCCATGAAAAATAGGGATTCACTGGCCAGAAAAAGTCACTTCAAACAGCTGTGTGGTGGATACCAGGCTAAAAATAGTGGCGGTCAATTCATCAGCCTTGCAAGCTGTTGAATGGTGTAATCCCAGCACAAGTTGCTATGTCTAACATAGCTGTTCGCTATCATCGCTTCCGCGATGGGCATGTCTGAGGTCTGAGGTGTGTGTCCGTGTGTGTGTGTGTGTGTGTGTGTGTGCGCGCGTATGCGTGCGTGTGTGTGTGTGTGTATGTGAGTACCATGGCGTATGTGCGTGTTTGTGTGTGTGTGCATGTGCTGTGTGTGTGTGCATGTGCTGTGTGTGTGCATGCGTGCGCGCGCGTACATATGTATGGATGCTAGGTGCCACAGCCAGTGTGCAGTCGAATCCTGGCTTCAGTGCCTTCTCCAGTGCTAAGCATGGGCTCCGAGCAGTGGCGGGCAGTCTGGCACGTGAACTAGCACCTGATGGTAAGACTACTATAGCCCGTCCACCAAACCGGGGCCCATAGGTTTTTCATAGTCTCACTGCATTCTTATTCAAGATCGTGATATCGATGACGTATATGTATAATTATAGCATTAGTACACTGTGGGTCATCGCTCTCACGATATTGAGCTCATTGGAGCGGTAGATCTATATGACTATAACAGCTCCTGACCCATACGATCAGACTTGACTATGCTGTTTGTGAACACACGGCAGCTGTGATGATAACCGTTCTTTCTCTTGCTTTTTGTTGTTGTTGTTGGTGGTGGTGGTTGTGGCGGCGGCGGTGGTGGTTGTGGCGGCGGCGGTGGTGTTGTTGTTGTTGTTGTTGTTGTTGATCGTATTCTCTCTGTGCTCTGTGTGTGTGTGTGTGTGTGTGTGTGTGTGTGTGTGTGTGTGTGTGTGTGTGTGTGTGTGTGTGTGTGTGTGTGTGTGTGTGTGTGCTGTGTGTGTGTGTCCTATCTGACTTGCAGGCATTCACGTGTGTCATGTACTGATTGATGGTATGATAGACACGGCGTTCGTCCGCGACAACTTCCCGGCTGTGTACGCCGACCGTAAGCCACGCCAGGGCATTCTCTCTCCAGACTCCATTGCCGAGCAGTACGCAGCGCTGCATCGGCAGCCCAAGGACGCCTGGACGTTCGAGATGGACCTTAGGCCATGGGTGGCAAAATGGTAGTAGCGCTAGATCGGCAACCCAAGGACGCCTGGAGGTTCAAAATGGACCTTATGCCGTGGGGGGCTAAGTAGTAGTAGCGCTGGCAATGCCCCCCCCCCCCCCCCATCCATCCACAGTTTCATGTTTCTGACAGTCACAATGCCCAGCCTGCTGAGAAGTGGGTGGCAGAATGGTAGACTGATCATTGCCGATGCCCCATTCCACCTCCGTTTCCGATCGATCACAATGCGCACTCTGTTGAGAAGTGGAGAGCCACAACACAAGACAACGAGAGGATTCAGCGGGAACTAGTCAGGAAACAGTGCATGCATGGCTGCTATGTCAGCAGCGCCGGCTATGTGTTCAGTGTACTCTCAGGTGGCAAAAGGTCTCGCTCGGGGTCTTGGCGCATGGCACAGCTGACTCGCTCGCTGCTCCGCTGTCCTGCAATCCGTACTGTCGTGACGGATTGCTTGTTGGTTGCATTATGCTGCTACTGTCTCTATTTCCAAGGAGACCACTGCACTTCTGTAGTCGGAACAGTCGCCGTTTTCCTCCGCTGTGCCGAGCACAGTTTGTTTGAGAGGATTCGGTCTAGGTTTTCGTGACGGCTTGCGCTTTCCACCGCGGGTGTGGATACCCGGGGCTAAAGACGTTACACCGACGCGGCGGGATTCCACAAGTGGTGCTGTGACCAGGATGTCTGCAAGGAAAGGGTGGCAAGCGGTGACCTCGGTCACATGTTCCCACTGCACCAAGCTAGCACAGTGGTGGTGATGCACAGACGAACGGCAGTGGTAGCCGTGTTGTCACGCTGCAGGAGGTTGATGGGGCGAGTACTTTCCGGCAGTGGACCGGCCGACGGCCAGACAAGGCCTCGGAGTGTCCTGAAGACGAGGGGCCGCCAGCAAAGAAGACCAGGTTAGCCAAGGAGACCCTCTGCAGGCACTGTGGATTTGTAGGCCACTCAATGATGAAGTATTGCGTTGGAATGCTGTAGCCCTGCAAGGGTCCGAACTGCTAAGTACTTTCTGGCTGTCGACCCATCGCCGGGCAGACTATGCCTCAGAGACGCAGATGGCAAGGAGCTGCCAGCAAAGAAGGCCAAGCTATGGCCGGCCAAGGATCAAAGAGACCCTCTGCTGGGCGGCCGCCTCAAGATGGACTGCTATGTCGCCACACTGCAGCCCCGCAGGAGTCCGACTAGGCAAGCGCTTTCTGGCAGTCTATCGGTCGCCGGGGAGACTAGGCCTCGGAGAATCCAGAAGGCGAGCGACCGCCAGCAAAGAAGGCCAATCGAGCCAAAGAGATCCTCTGCTGGCACTGCGGTTCGGCTGACCACCGCATGATGGACTAACCGTCACACTGCCCTGGTAGTATAGGTAGTATATGTGCCCGGACAGAGTGCAGGAGCCGGCAGAAAAGGCACCACTGTAGCGACCTGGACGGCTCCAACAGGGAGGTCAAGATCTCTGCGTGGGGAGAAAAGACGCTGGCTACCCTTCGAAAGGAGAAGCACCTGAACGGAAGCTGCACCGAGATTCATGATGATGTCCTGTGCTGTGTCATGATGATGATGTCCTGTGCTGTTCTGTCACCTCATACCTGTGCTGATGAATGTCATGTATCCTTGTACACTTACATTGAATATGTTCAACATCCTGCTCCACTGCTGGTCGTCGCATTGTTATGTGTGTGTGTGTGTGTGTGTGTGTGTGTGTGTGTGTGTGTGTGTGTGTGTGTGTGTGTGTGTTTGTATGTGTTTGTTATGTGTTAGGGATTCACTGGCCAGAAAATGTCACTCCAAATAGCTGTATGGTGTAGACCAGGCTGAATAGTGACGGTCAATTCTTCAGCCTTGCAAGCTGTTGAATGGTGTAATCCCAGCACAAGTTGCTATGGCTTCTGCCGTAGCATTGCTATCATCGCCTCCGGCGATGGGCGTCAAAGGTCAGGTATGTGTTTGCTATCATCGCTTCCGCGATGTGCATGTCTGAGGTGAGGTGTGTGTGTGTGTGCGTGTGTGTGTGTGTGTGTGTGTGTGTGTGTGTGTGTGTGTGTGTGTGTGTGTGTGTGTGTGTGTAGGAATGGGTGATGCAGTTTTATCCAGGATTTGCCCACATCGGTTTTCCCCATCCTTCCACTACACGTATTCACTGACCGCTATGACAATCTGGTGACTTTTCTGTAAGTTCTTTATATGGCAAGCCTTCAGCACACATGCATGTGTTCCACAAAGATAAAAGATCAGAAAGAGTGAAGAATTGATTCGAATACGGCAGCAAGCTGGTCGCATAGCCACGGGCACATCAGCAGAATAGTGACCGTGTAGACCTGACATTATTGGCTATGGTGTGCTCGTACAACTGCCGCACACACAGTTACACCTCTGCAGAGCACAACGTCTGGCAATGAATGAGCGGTATAATTCTTGAAAATGAAAAACTTTGTGAGCTTCGTCTATGCGCGTGAGGTGTGACAATGTCAGAAATTCTACTTTTGCTAGCCGCAGTGCGAGGCGGTAAAACCAGCCAGATAGAGAATACCGCGATACGAGAATCTGACATTTTTGAATAATGCATGCATGTACTTGTAATGATGCAATTCGGCGATATATATTTGCTCCAGGCAGGAAACACATCTGGCATGTGTGTTCGTGTGCATGTGTCATGGGGCAAGATGTGAAAACTTCCGAAAATAATAAAAAAGCAAGAGAGAGGCAGTGAGACAGATGACGTGAGCCGTGAGTTTTGCACAGTGCTGCCCAGTATGGCAGTAACAATCATAGCAGCAGTGGGACAGAAGAATGACGAGAGATGAAGGCAGCGACAGTTCTCGGATGCATACCGGTGCAAGTCGGTGTTGATGCCGACTCTTGCCTGCGATGACGGACGACCAAAGACACACGTGCACGCGGTTGTCCGTGCGTGTGTTATCTGGCCGGCGGCGAGTGAACAGCCTACTAGCCCACCTTGGGATAGCGCACGACCATGAACGCGCAGCACGTGCAGCAGGTCAAGCTGACCATGATGAACAGCTCCAGCGCCATCATTATGTACTGGGCGATGGTCACCCAGAACGCGTACTCGTACAGGCCGCGGTGGCAGTACGGGTGGTGGGGCAGCCCGCCGTACTGGCGCAGGCGGTGGGCCTTCAGCGCCTTGGCGCGCACGGCAAAGTTGAGACCGCGCGACGCCCTGCGCTTGATGAGTACTTCTCCGTCGCCCGCGCCGAAATCCGTCTTGGCGGCATCGCCATCCTTATACGCATACTCCTGGTCGGCATTCTTCACGGCGACGCGATGCTCACTCCTCTCGCCCTGAGCCGAGATATGGTGTTCGCTTTCGGCAAAATCCTGGTCTCCGTTGTGGTAGTTGTTGTTGGCGACGGCGTCTGCGTCGTCGGCGTGAGCTGCGTTTGCTGCCTTCACCAGGGCGTTGGTTTCGACGGCGGCGTTGTCGGTGTGGCGTACATCTGTCAAAGACACACACGTGTCCGTCCGAGCGTGCATACACACACATATCCGTGCATGCAGACACACACATGCAGACACACACACACACACAGACACACACACACACACAGACTTCATAAATCCTGTACAGGTCTTGGCTTGCGGTGGTGGCTTATGCCAATAAGTTATGGTGTGTATGTGTTGGGGGGGGGGGGGGGGGGGGCAACATCTCCTCCATGTTTTCGCGGTGTGTACTTACTGGCTATGAGGACTTCATGGAGGTATTCGGGGTGATAATGGCGGACAACGTACAGATGCGTGGCGGGGTTGTAGTCGTAGTTATGGCGATAGCGTGTGTGTACGCCGAAGATCCACACGCTGCCGGCGATGAACCAGGCCAGGTTGAACCAGAAGAATAACCACAGTGTCCACGTGAACCAGAACGACTTGCAGCCGTCGCTAGTGGTCTGTGTGCAGCGAAGAACATTACAAATACAGACAAGAGTTTTTAGAACTTAATTCCGCTTCTTTCCAGGAGAAATAATTGAAGAGAAGTCCCGAAAAACGAGAAATTAGGTCCGAAAGTCACCCCGTCATGGACCGTGCCTTGTGACTCGCACCGTTCGCTGTTGAACGACGCAACGACTGCAGCATGTCGTGTCGTAAGAATCGTACAAGATTTTACAGCTCGCCCCAGCCGTCCCAGGCCTTTACCCTGTGTTTGCAACCTCCAAGCACCACTCATTAGGCCGTGCTCTCAATCTGGCTGAGCGTAAATAAACCAAAAATATTGAGTTTTCAGAGCCAGCGGGACTGTTTTATCTGAGTTGACCGTAGGAAGATGAAATTTTGAGCCTAAATTGAAAACCAACATGACTACGGTTGACTGTAGAATAACGCCTTACACTTACAGTACAGGTATACCATCCAGACCAGGACTGGGTGGCCCACTTGCACATGAAGAGCAGGTTGGTGCAGATGCCCACGCAGCCGGCCACGATCAGATAGATGGGAATCATGTACTCCACGGTGCATAGGTGTAGGTAGATGGAGCCGACGCAGATGCTGGCAATGCTCATGCCCAGGTAGAACCAGGAAGCGATGCGGAACCACACTGCACAAACGTGGCAAGAACACAACAAAAACACCCGGGAATGCATCATAAGCCCATTGCGCTATGTCATAATGCTGTGCCACGAACACCGTTCCGCACAGCCACCTGGTCATCGTCGTCCGGGGGTGTTGAACAGTTCATCCCTGATCCCATTGTACTCATATGCATTTATAAGCCCATTGCGCTATGGCATAATGTTGTGCCACAAACACCGTTCCACACAGCCACCTGGTCTCGGTTGTCTGGGGGGGGGGGGGTGTTGTTGAACAGTGCATCCCTGATCCCAGTCACACTGTGACAGTGTACTCATACACAGTAATTGTATGACACAGATATGTTCTAGGAACGCCAAAACACAGGATGTCTAGGTTTGAGTAGACCTTGGCGGAATGCTCGAAAACCTGGCAGATTCTGCTTGGAAAGCAGTGAAATTCGCAGAACTATACATACACTATACACAAACATGATGGCAAGTGCTTCCTCGAATTCTGCTCCATTTCTTTATCCACATACCATACATGATAATGCATGAAACATACCAGAAGAAGTACGAAATTCCAATCCAATTCAGTTTTGCCGGCATTAACTGCCAAGGGCAAGGTGTGACACTAGTTCAATCATCTAACATGCATCATCCTTGATCATATTTTATTTTATTTTATTTCACCGTCCAATGGCAGAAGCCAATGCAAAAGGAGGGGGCGTTAGCCAGCCATGGCAAGAGAAGAAAAAGAAAGAAAGAAGGAAAGAATAATAATGATAACCGGAAGAAAAGAATGCATCAGCGGGGCGAAAATTTTCACTATGTTGACCATGGTGGAGAGCGGCGAGATAGGCTAGCAAAAGAGGCGAGCGAGCCTACAACGTGGCATGACATTTAACATGGTCTATGAACTGTCTAATATTGGATATTATCTTGAAGGCACCATTACCTCTGGGTTACCAGTAGAAATTAAATGATCGATCAAAGTTGAAGATCATCAAAGATCACTAACTATGAATGTCCTGTTTACGTGTATTACCATTAGGCTACTATTTGAGCAAACAGCTAAACTGTGATTTCTCTTTATCCGATCCCCGTGCCCGTATTTCTTATTCTCTTATTGGCCACAGGCCAGCGTGAGAATAAAAGATTTCAATAAAATATTTCAAGTCAAATATGTCTTCATAGTATGTTCTTACAAACCATCCCAACATTTCTCTCTCTGGATTTGTTTAAGAACTGTGAAGCTCCACTGTAGACTTGTCATCCTTTACTTCACGTCCAATCCGCAGCACACGGACAGGGACAGTCCTTGGCCACACCACGTACAGTAGTTGTTCCAAAATTTCGGGACTTACCAATGTTGGAGACGACATTGTGCATGTTGACGAGAATATCGCCGGTGTCGTTGAAGTAGTCCACATCGAACAGGTTGTTGAACAGCTTTGCCAGTGAGGACTGGCTGTCTGCACATAACCATGGCCACAAAACAAGATGAGAGTGTTGCTAATTTCATGTACATGTACATATTACATGTTTGTAATACATGTGATAGAGTAGGACAGGTTTGCCGGAGCGATCAAGGCAGCGGAGGGTCGACACATTGAACCAGGACAAGTGGTATGCAGAGAAATCAACGTCCCTGCATGCTGTTATGTTGTGTAGACGGTGAGTAAACTCTAGCTTGATCACGCATGGTGTATGGAGTAGTGATACTGCTCTGTAACTAACTGTAGCTAACAATGCAAGCAGCCTACAACCACACCCATCCATTGTGTTTCTTTTGCCTGTAAAAGAGGCTTCTGCATAGCGCTACTAAAAAACAAAAAAACGTACAACCAGGCATGGCTTTGCCTCACCTAGCAATGAGTTCCCCGTCAGGGAAGTGCGTTCGTCCGTCATCTTGACGAGAACTGAGTGCCAGTACCTCAGGTGATGACCAGACTATAAGATCCCAGGGGCCTCGACTCCTAGTAGCATGAACAAAACAAAAAGGACAGAAAAGAAATGGATTTGTTTCTTTATTTACTGGCAGGTGTGATGCAAAAAGAGGACTGCCGACTATTCAATTGCAGTCAACCTCATGAGTGACAAGCTAAGGTATAACACGCATTAGTTGAGGGAATGGAAAAAGGGAAAAAGTCTGAAGACAACAATTGACTGTCAACACCTGGATTCGAACCAGGGACCTTCTCTTGAGGCCAGATTTAACACTCAACTTTTCCCCTTTCAAACACCGGCCCTTAAATTCTACGATGAATATCAGGTATATCAACTCCTGAATCCTGACATTACATTCACCCTCCCACTAAAATAGTCATTTGACTGCATGCTTTCAGCCTCGAAGGAAACTAAGACCTGAGACATGGATGCAGTGAATGGAATTTCGGTCGTCAACCGCTTTGCCTGTGGGCTGACCTGCTCACCTCCCACCGCTTTAGGAGCTGCATCTGTGCCTTAGATCTTTGCAGGGTGGTGGCGTTCCTACGGATGCTGAGAACTCAGCCTAACCGAGTCTCAAGCGAACCGTGATTTTTTTCAGCCCTGCGGATAATGAGAGATGTTGAATAATAAACGTTTTTCTTACCCCCCCCCCCCCCCGGCAATTGAGGGTCGTTATTGGCAATGTTTACTCCATGGCAACGATGAAAAGACAACTTTAAGAGCATAATAACGCGAGCCTTTGTTGATTCTGCAGCAAACAGGGTACTCAATATTAGTTTGTAACAATAATGGCCAAGCACGCCTTGGGAGCTGGAGGCATGCGGGCACGCTAGCCGGCCAGCTCGTGACACGCCAGGGAACTAGACAGAGTTGCACCACTGTAAGGCTGGTAAGCTGATGCCCGGTACGACTAGACTAGTGATACCCGGGCAACCAGTTATTAAAACGGACCCAGGGCATCTCAGCTATAATCACTCCTTTCAAGCAAAGAACAGGGAAAGTAACTCGGTGGAAGTGACACGAAAACGAGGATGAAGCTGTACCGCTATATCCACGTCCTTAGGCGTATAATCAGCTACGCTCCGTCACTGGACTGCAGTATAATTCTGAGTTATGACTGCAAGCCAACGCATCGTATGCAGCGTGAAAATGGACACCAGTGGTAGCACCGAAAACCCACGCATTATGTTGCATATGAAAAAAGAACTGCGAACCCTCGCTTGGATGGACCCCACCCTCAACACAAGACAACAGGGATCAAGGCTTTGCGGCCGAGTGACAGGATCGTTGGTGATGAACGTCGCTTTGCCCCGTTTCTCCACACCCACCGCATGAAACAGAATTCTAGCTAGCTTACCTGAGAAAGAGTTGCCACTCCGAAACGTTGATCACTCTCCACACTCTCGGCTCAGCTTTCTGCTCTCCTTCGCATATCGAGCGGTAAACAGCTCTGCGACGAAAGTCGGTGCTTGGCAATGATAATACCCCGCTGAAATGACAGTGCGCGTGGTGCTAGGCAGTGCTTATCATGCCGGAGGCACGCAGTGGCGGGTCGCGGATAGGACGGCCGCTTCCGGCGAGTGCGGACTGTCGACGGCTGGTACGCCTCGCATAGTACGAGCGCACACTGAAAGTGCTGGGAGCATGTCGTCACACCTTGCAGACGATGCATCCCTGCCGCTGTGACTGGGGTTCGACGTGTGCACCAGGTCCGTATAACAGCAGCCGCTCGATGTGGCCATCATCCATCCTAAGCTATGCCGGGATGAGCTGAGTTGGGCATCCCCAGGGAAAGAAGCGGCACAAGCAAGCGAGCAAGGCGGAGGTTTGGGAACATCAGGGACCAAGTGGACGAGAAGGGACAGCACATAGTTAGCTGCGCTATCTGTTGTGCTACGAGCCGCGTCAGGTGAGAAACTCTGTCTTGCGCTTGCAGGGGTGGAGGAACTGGTGTATGCGGAGAAAGTCTACGTGCAGTGCAACTATCGTGTGAAGCACGGTACACTTCAGTGTTAAGTGCCTCCATGCAGTCGTTGTTCTGAATCTGTACTTTTTAGCCAAGGCACAATGTACTCAATATCCGACGAGAACTGGTTGGAGAGGGAATTGCACGCAGCAGGCCAGGTCTTGACTAAAGTACAAAGTCTTTATACCGGTATGGGCGTCAAAGTGAAAAGTATGTTATATCCGAGGCACTAGTACTGGCGGTTCACTGGAATCCGAACAGAGCATACGGACGGATAGAAAGTACAATTCTGGCTATTAATCGCTGTATGCGAAAAAATCGAGTCGCAAAGACATGGCAGATTCCTGGGCCATCTCTGTATACGCATGTGTAGTGTATTCTTTACTAATTTTTACTTCGCAAAGTCAAACGGGATCGTTACCCAATCATTATGATAGCGAAGGGGGGGGGGGGCATTACATGGTGCCTGGATATGCTGCAATTCCAGCCATTTCATCTCGGATGTTGAGTCCTTGAGGTGAACCAGTGCAGGGAATTTCGCTCCAGGGAGTTCATGTCCGTTTTACTGAAGGTTTTGCACTCTATTAACCCATACTGCGATAGGCTAGCACCGTGCATGTCAGCTGCATGTGAGATCAGGACACACATGTAAGTGCTGTGACTGATTTAGCATGGCTTCTAATAATAATAATTATGGTAGGGCGGCCTGTAAACCAGAGACAGAGCGCGCTCTGTTTTAACCAGTACGCGTAGTCGTGTGGCTAAAACACGATACTAGTCTAGTACGCTAAAAATAATCACGTCATGAAGATTTTAACGTTATGTGGAGCTGGCCACTTGGACTCTGGTAACCTTAGGAAGGCACTCTGTCTCGTGTCTTGGCACACTTCCTCTGCAAACAGCTATACATGTAGCGCTATCCTCATCGCTTACTGGCGCAATAAAGTTGTTGTTGTTGTTGATTTTTATTTTGCTTCGCAAGGCCAAACGGGCAATGGTGCCCAATTCTATGGAAGCGAATTTCAAAAGGGAGAGAGCTACGGGGAGAGAGAGAGAGAGAGAGAGAGAGAGAGAGAGAGAGAGAGAGAGAGAGAGAGAGAGAAGAGAGAGAGAAAGAGAGAGAGAGAGGGGGGGGGGGAGGGAGATGATAAGCAATTTTGCAGCGTCAACAGAGCGATTTTGCAGTGTCAATAGAGCGATTTTGAAGCGTCAACAGAGGGAACACAAAGAGTTCATAAGCGCACAAGCACGCAGAGAAGAGTAAATGACGTGGTGTGTGGACGGGGAAAGTCAGACACAGCATTCATTGCAAGGTGTAGGGGATGGAGGCAAGCTTAAATTGCTGGGCAGCCTTGATCTCCCTTACACTCCTTGGGAGAGCGTTCCAGGCCAAGGCTGCCTGAAAGGCCAGGCGAGATCTGCCGGCTTCTGACTGTGCCGAGGGGACAGTGAGGCCCCTGGAAACCTGGTGCCGGGTGGTGCTGCCAGCTGATGGTGAGAATAGGTCCTGGAGGACACTGCTGGCTTTCCCATTGACACAGCGCCACACCAGGACGAGCCGCTTCTGGGCGTAGCACTCGCGAACTCTGTACAGGGACATCCGTTCGAGCAGAGGCTGAGCCGAGGTGTGAGGCGGCAAACCGTATACCGCTCTCGCCGCTCGGTTCTGCAGGACAGTGATCAGTCAGGTGATGTGAGGTGCTGAGTTCTGCTGTTGCTTCAGTGACAATCTGAGTAGTGAACAGGGCAACAGGAGCACGGTACCTATCTACTAAACAGGGCGTTTTGGTTTGGGCGTGTTTCGGAACAGCTTCCAAACTCGTTCTTCTCTTGGTGTGGGCCAGGGTGGCGGTGAGGCAAAGTACCTAAAGGTTAGTGAAGAACAGTACATGTCATGTTCGCCCAGAAGCCATTCGAATGATGCCGGCAGAAAATATTAGCAAAACCTTTCATATATGTACGTGTACATGTTTGGTATGTGAAAAAAGAGAAATAGAGCAGAATTCAAGGAAGTGCCTGCCATAAGGCTTGTATGGTTCTGCCCATTTCACTGCATTTCGAGCAGAATCTGCCACTCTCTGGAGCGTTCTTCGCCAAAGAGCTATCACCTAATCACCACCCACTCTGTCTATCTCATTCCCCAGATATCGGTTAAGGTACTGAAGTAGTTATTCATCATCAGCCGACAGTTCGAGCAGCCTGAACAAGTAGTACCAGTTATCTGTAGCGTGGGGTTGTCTAAATGAGTCCCTTGTAAGTCGAAGTATTAATTTTTGGATATTGTAAAACAGAAAGGTTCCAGGCTGTCCAATGGAGTGCTCGATGCCCAAGAGCAAAGCTTCTTACAGCAGGCGAAGATCGCCTCGTACGTGACACTCAGAGTAGCAACGACATTCTCATCCTCTTCTTCTTCTTGCATTTGGATACTGCTGTGGTCCTGTTGTGTTGTGATTGGGTGAGGATAGCAGCCTGGGCTGGTGGATCTTGGCAGGTGTTAGAGTAAAGGAATATTTTACACACAGATCTGGAAATAGGAAAGTTGATAGATCGCAACGTTGGAGGGGCCTTTACCGTCTATTTGACACTTGACTGGCTCATGACCGCCACTCCGAGCACACAGGAGGCTTGCCCGATCACTACACTAGTAAAGTACAGGTATAAAATTAATGCATTCTAGTAGTGTTGACGTCGAAGTCCCCACAGACTTTGCCGTCGGTCTCCAGGGAAACCTTTGTGTCCTCGTCACCTAATCCAAACAACCACAGTACATGTGGTGTAGTTCAGTGTTAAAACACCTTTCAGCACCTGAAGACATTGCCAACAATGGAGATGGCATGACAGAAAAAATGGAACTTCTCAGTAGTCAGTGGGAGCGTCTGTCGTTGTCAAGCGAGATTTGTTTGTTTGTTTGTATTCTTTATTTAGAGTGGGAAGTCCAAAACAGGCCCTAGCCTAATAACAATGGTCCCACTAGTGAGGGAATGCTGTATATCTGTGCATAAGGATCAGTGAGTGAAACAGCAACTAGTAGGGAAAGAAAAAGAGAGAAGAAAAACAACTCAAAACAGGAGTTGCGACTTGCATAGGAAGAAAATACCGGAACGAGCAGTGCACACAGCATTAATTTTGTAAAGAGGCTTATTTATCTGGTAAGCAAAAAGGCAAGAGCCATTGACTTAAAGCGATTGCGTTTTCTTTCTTGCCTGACCGCAGCGGGGAGCAGCGGGGAGATAGCATCCATATTGCTTCGGGCTGTTGAAACACTCAGTCTGGAACTGCTGGGAAGCAAGAAGTTGTCTCAAACTGCTTGTACAATAACCTGATAACATGCGTTTCTCTCTATACCGCGATCATGTTGTACACCATAATTATACAATGTACTTCGTTGTCCCACTCACCTTCCCTGTAATTGCAGGCTTCCCCGATGCCTCTCGTCAGTACGCGTGGATACGTCAACACACTGTAGCCTGCTATAGGCTTGCGAAGACCACGCCGGTGAGCATGCGCGTCTACATAGTCTCCGCCACTATGCTCACAATGCTAGTGCGGACTTAACGGATCAGAGAACAACCCCATCGGAGTAGGCACTGTGGCATTAGGCGACTTGTACCGTGTGGGTACTCAGAGGAGCAGGGTTTGCTCTCTAGATCTCTTTCATGCAGCGGCTCATGGAGTGAACCCTTTCATCGCATGGGATGAGAGCCTTTCAGCCCGGCTTTTGTTTGAAACCTACACACGCTATTACATCAGAATTAATTTTGAGATAACTAGTATATTTTTTCCTTCACCAGAATGTACACCGGCACGGCATAATGCAGAACGCTCTCTCACCAGAGTGAGGTCCAGACCGTGGTCCAGCTCCTACCGAAATGAAGATGTTTCGATCGTCATCAGTTTCAGGGGAAAATGGACCAAAGCAATTCTAGAATTTCAGTTTTTTTCAAGCACATATTTTCGTGTATATCCATCTGTTCACATAAAAATGGATGGCACTGCCCCCCCCCCCCCCTTCCCCTGATTTTCTTTACTAGTACTTCATGTTAGGGTGCTCCATCATGCATTGACATCTGCTCACTCTCCTTAGATGCCCCGTGCAGTTCTTTGTGAACTCATCAGCACAGTCATGTGCACAGAACAGCGGACCGAGGCCGAATCTTGTGGCAACTTGAAACTTTAAAAACTTCCCCAAAGCCTACCACTTTGATGCGAGTTCCTTACTTTAAGGTGTGGGTGTGAAGGGTAAAGTCGCAGGACTCGAGACCTACGATTATTTGTGTATTTCGTATATGAATCGTGGAGGTCCTCTTCTGCCACAGCATGGTGTAGACTGTGATCAACAAACCTTTCGGCTGAAGCAGAAGTTCATCCTAGGGCGGAATGTCTACACAATACAATTCGGGAGAGAATACGCGGAATGCACGTCGGTTCTAACATGTGATACTAAGCTAGCAAGATTCGCCCTGAAGTCGTATTAGGGACGGCCAGGCCCCACACACCGGAGATCTATCCAGGCAAAACTCGACACTCATAGGACATCCTAATCGTATGCCTCACATCCACCGTGCCAGTGAAGCGATAAGACATAATCCGTTTGCCATAGCCTCTCGCAGGCTTGTGATGAAACTCAAGTTTGGTTTGTTTGAAGGTCTACCGCGTAACACAACTACCCAGACTGAGCATTCGAGCACAGTAAAATATGGAATAGTCCATGCGAATGTGAAGCACTTTGGAGTCGTGCGTATGCGGCGCTCCTCCTATATTGGTTCACCAACTGCCTGATTGAAAGGGACTAGGTTAGCCTTATCAGATCTGAAAGGGAAATTTCGCCAAGGAAAAGGTAGGGAGTGTACTAAACGAATGCTTCCAAGAGGGGAGTGGAATTTCGATTTGTAAACTGTTCGAATAATTGCAAGCAAGGAGCTTCGGGGAACCAGCTTGCTGAAATGTAGAACCTGTTTATGGCCACGACCTGTCCTCCAACACTAAGATCAGCCACTTGGCAAGATGACCCACATCATCGTTATCATGACATCCTCAAGACAACATGCATAGAGCTCAGGCCAATTTGGTAGAGTCACGCGGGGGTTCGAGGCAGTCTAGAGACGGTATGAATTGTTTCAGCCTTTGGGGTCGGGTGCCAAATTGCATTTCAGAGAATCTCTCTCTCTCTCTCTCACACACACACACACTCTCTCTCTCTCTCTCTCTCTCTCTCTCTCTCTCTCTCTCTCTCTCTCTCAAGTATGTACGATTATGTAGGAGTGTGTGTGAATGTCTATCTGTCTGTCTGACTCTCCCCTTTCTCCTTTTTTTTCTATTTGCAGCTTTGACAGCCTGCTATTGATTGACTGAGGATTGCTCAGCAAAGACGACGACGACGACTAGGCTGGGACTGATCCGCTCCGACATCATGGCCACCGAGAGGACCTCACTGAACAACGAGGCGCTGCAAGGTTAGAACCAGAGAGTCTTAAAAAACCGGTATTTCACGACGCCCATGTTAGCAATGTGTTGTCAACACGCGTACAAGTACATGTACATTGAAACCTGTCTAAGACGACCGCTCAAGGGACTTTCAAAACGTGGTCTCTGTTACCAGGTGGTCTCCTTATCCAGGGTCATTTGACTGGAAATAGCATCCCTTGATCCTGGTTTCAGTGGTCTTCTTGGACAGGTGGTCGCCTTATCCGAGTGGTCGCCTTGAGAGGTTTTACTGTAGTTCAAAGGCAAACTAATAATGACAGTCGACTCCTGATATAAAGAACACCAATGTGCAGGGGAATTAGTTCTTTATAGCCGAAGTCCTTCATCGGGGGATGAACCCAGTGTGCCGACATGGCGGAGGCAGACATTGTAATACACAGAACAGAAAGGGTAAGGCTAGTTTGTAGCTACTCTGAGTTTGAAACTGTTTCACGCTTTACGCAATCAGCCCAAGTTAGTTCTTTATAGCAGAAATTCACTCGCACCATACAAATAATACGTCATGGTCGGCATTTGTCCCTCGACAGTGCAGTCATGAAAAAATGTATATTATTATTATGTGTGAACCAGGTTTATATTGCTCCATTTCTGTTGTGTTTACTGTTGGCATGTATGGGGTACCCGGGGTCTGAATCGCCGTCGTCCATTGCTCCACGTGCCGTATGCAGAGAGCAAATCGTCGATGGCAAACATGTTCAACACGCTGTTCAACGTGACGTATTTCACCACCACTGGTGACGTACTTACCTTCATGCATAACGTCCTCTCCAACATAGGTAAGTCACGTGACGCTGGATTGTTCGGCCTGGTCTGGCCGTACATGGCTGGCTCATGCCTGAAAATAATCTCCTGCTAAATTGGGGCAAAGAGACCATAATTATGGTATGATTGCTGAGGCTAAACAATGTGAGGATGGCTGCATTGGAGCGTGGGACTTCCTAAACACGTTCAAGCCATTTTCTGAAATACACATGTACATGTAGTCGATGTGTAAATTTGAATTGAAATCATTCCCCCTCCGTGCACGATGATGTCACCATCTCTCTAGAATGCTGTCATTGTTTGTCTTGTTCATTACCCCAGGCCCTGTACTGTGATCTGACATATTAATAATAATAATAATAATAATGATAATTACCGGTATTACGCGGAATACATGCTGCTGTCTGATGATCGCTGAAATGCGTGAAACATAAAGACTTAGTAACAGCTACACAGCCTTTCACCTCTGTTGTGTGTGTGTGTGTGTGTACTTATGATTATGAACATGACTACATGTGCATATAATTATATGTAAAGAGAAAAAGGACCTACCTTGTACAAGTTACTAGGTATGGCTAACAGTCCACCAAGGTAACGAGATAATATACAGTCAGATAGTGCGACAACGAGGCACAACTAGCAACTTGTACTGAAGTATGTCCTTTTCTCTCTACATACAGTAAAATCTCGTTAGGAAGAACACGGATAAGACAAATGTTTGCATAAGAACTAGTATTTGTAACTCCATTTGATAATTCACTATGTATTTACTGGTTATAACATACGGATAAGAAGAACTCCCGTTATTGCGAATAAATACCATCGGTCCCTTCATGTTCATCCTAAAGAGGTTTGACTGTCCATGAATCATTGTATTACTATTTTGGCTCAACATCCGAGCTTTAGGTTCATGTATATTTTTGTATTATTCCTATTCTGCAGTGTGGTATCGCGCGATGTCCTGGTTCTATCTGGGCATATCGATTGCCAGTGTGTGCGTGGGCGGACTGTACATGAACTTGTGCACGGCCCAGCACATGATCCCCGTGTACCTGGTGGTGGCGGGCAGCTTCGGCATCACCAGCAACCTGCTGTTCATGTGCAAATGGGCAACCGGCTCCTGGAGCGTATGGAGCCAGTGCAGGGTAAGGATCACGTGGTTGGGTGGTATTAATAATTATTATCCAATGAGAATTTTTGAGGATTCCCGGAGGCAATAGTTCTGTGCAGGGGATGTCCCATTTCATTTTCTCTTTTCGTTTTCACTAAGCTACGCACTCGCAGTGAAGAAAGTATCAATGGCGGAATGTGGTGTTGAGGTCCTGCAACTGTGCGGTCGACCAAGTATCTCGACTTCCTCACAGACAAGACGCACCAAGGGGTTCTATGTGAATTAATTATAAAAGGAGGAGAGAAATGAAGAACCTTTGAAGAAGGAACTTCACATGCTACGGAGGCCTTTCAAGGCAACAGTAGAATATGGAGTAGAAATAACACGGCGGCCTACCACTCTCATTCTGGACCGTGTTCCCACTCTTGGAGTTGGACAAAGGGATAAACATGTGTTTTGAACAGCTGCATGTAAACGCGCCTGTGTTCGTGCTTGATGTGTTGTTACCGCCTGGTATACCTGTGCATGTACATGCAGGACACTTCGGAAGGCTGTCGTTCGTTCTGGTTCAGCTGGTCACTGTGGATCTTGTTCTGGTTCAACATGGCCTGGTTTATAGCGGGAAGCGCCTGGATCTTTGGTCTGCACTCGCAGTACAAGCACAACTATGTCTACGAGCCGGAAACACATCTGTTTGTCGTCAAACACTTAAATATACCCCGCGTTCACCTGATGGAGGCACCTCATCTTGCCCACGAAGGTAAATGGAACTCATTTAGCTAAGACCAGGCCGGCGGTGCATTTCGATCCAGCAAAACTTCTATTCCTTCGCTGTAGGGAGTTTTTCCGTTCCGGGTGGGATATCCAATAATTGTAATTGAAATGGCGTATATGATAAATTATCGAATACGCCATTTCAATTACAATATCCCACCCGGAAAGGAGAAACTCCCTACAGCGAGGGAATAGAAGTTTTGCTAGTAATAAAATGGCAGAAACAAGAAAAGGAAAGACAAGAAGGCCATGTTTATTGAGCACACACACACACACATTTGGCCTGAATGTGAATTTTAGGATGATGTGAGTGACGGTAGGCATCCTTGGCTTGGCAAAAGAGAGGGGTAGTAAGCTGCAAAGCACACATTCAGGTTGCATTCACATTCAGGTTTGGGGTTAGGACCCTGCCCCCCCCCCCCGCCGCCCCAAACACACAAGCACCTGTGTCTGCGTACACCTGATGTCTCTCTCGGCCTCTGATGTGCATTCATACAGCCGCGTTGGATGTGAAAGTAGAGACGTCACTGAGAGGCAACCACGAGCATGATAAGGGACATGCTAAACTGTCCGCTGCTGTACGTGATGAGCAGAAGGCGGCTGAGCCGGATCTGCAACAGCTGGAGACGGCGGTGGATGACAACGGGAAAGCCACAGACTTGGACCAACAACACGCCGCCGCGGGATCAACCAAAGTTGATGAATTGGCCCATGCCAAGGATGACGCTGCGGCTAACGTGAACCAAGAAGGCGACGGTGATTCCGCCGTGCACATGGCAACGGACAACGATCAGCAAGCAATGGTGGATGCCTCGCTCGGCAAGCAGGTCTTCCGCGGCGTGGACTTCGCTTTGGCCAATCCCAGGCTGCTGCGCGGTGCAGGTCACATTCGTCGTCACGGCGGTCTACCACTGCACCCGTACTGCCACCGTGGCCTGTTCGAGTATGCCTTCTGGGTCACCCTAGCTGAGTACGTCATGCTAACCCTGGACCTGCTCATGTTCCTCTACATAAGCTGCTGCAGTTGCTGCGCATACATGGTCGTGCCCTATGCCTCCGTGATGCAAGAAATACCGCGGTAACCTTGGCAACTGGCACACAGGGGACCATGATAACCAACGCACTCTGCATGGTCATCACCACTATTATCATCCTCCTTGCGTTGACGATCACAGACGTATGGCAGCGATGTCAACACCTTTTCCTTCTCTCTAGCTTACAAAGTACATGTAGCTGCCACGGACATCTCTTGTTCGCACTGCACGCGCGTTCACCACACCTCTGCTAGGCAATGATTGGACACAGAAGATGCCTACACAGCACACTCTTTTATCTGCCTTAGCCCATACTCTCCTGCACTGCCAACCTCTCCTCGAATCCCATTGCAACCCTGCTACAGTGCATGCTAGCCCACTTGCAGTGTGCGCAGTGAATGGACATACCGATGCATGTAGAAGATGGCCATACACTCATTCATTTTCCCAGCCCACAAATTATCCTGCACTGCCAAATCTCCTTCTTTTTCCTCGTGTGAGCAATTATACTCGTAACAGCGCAATTGTGTTGCATTTTTGTCCGATCACCTTCTACATTGCTTGGTCCAAGTGCCGCATTCTTCAGTCACGTCAACTGTTGCCGTTTCAATTAGCAATTTGTGTATTTGCCCCCGCATCTACATGTACACGTGTATTCCATGTACACGTAGCTGTTACATGTATTATCATGTAACTTTGCGAATACAATACAATCATGTAGCCCTGGAATCACACACAATTTTCAAACACTTCGATATTGATCACGTTTGTCTAAAGTAAGGTAGGTTGCAAAGCAGCAGCAGCAGCGCATTCGCCTGATTCTAATGTGAATGAACAGAACACCAATTTTTTAAAATGTCCCGTTTTGCACGAAGGAGCATTTTTCAATTCAAACACATAATTATACTACTATTCATGATGATGACTCTCATGTGGGGTAGTGCCTTTGCTGTTTGCGTTGTGCAGAGCTCACTGACTTATCAGCTTGAGCACTCTGGCAAGGTACGTTCGGGCCTGGTTTAAATCTGGATTTGGAAAAAAATTGAAACTCGGATGTTGAGCCAATAGATAATAAAATTTATTATTGGCTCAGCATCCGAGTTTCAAATTAATGTAGAAAGGAAAAGGACATAATTATGGATACGAGTTAAAAGTAACTCTCCATCACTGTAACTGGATTATACAGTCAGAAAGTGCAACAACTAGGCACAAAACTGACAGAGTACTGAGGCATCCGACACCTGACACCTAGCTTCAACACATCTCCGTAGCGCTAACCAACAGCCTTCCAACTCGGAAGGTTCAAGGTTAAGGAGAGACCAAAGAGGGGAAGGTAAGCGCAACGAAAACGAGCACAAGCTACAGTCCCACCGGAACAAAGAATGTCGATTGTTACTGGACGATGACGAGACCAGTAAGATACTTGACAAAGCGGTCTAACTACAATTCGAAGCAGCAAAGCAGCACACCATTCCACTTGGGTGGCTCAGAAGTATCAAAGATGAGTACAGAAGGGGGAAGCCTTGCGAAAACGAATTGTACAAGCCGAACGCCAAACTCCTATAGTACTACTCATGCATGACATTGTGATGGACCATATGGCGAAACTTACGTCGTGTGAAACTACACATGTACGTTGTAGTCATGTACTTGTTTTGTAGTGAACTAGTCCATCACAATGTCATGCATGAGGAGTACTGTAGGAGTTTGGCGTTCGGCTTGTACAATTCGTTTTCGCAAAGCTTCCCCCTTCTGTACTTATCTTTGATATTTCTGTGTGTGTGTGGGGGGGGGGGGGGGGGCAAGGGGAATTGGCGCGGCAGGGGCAACCTGGGCCCTATCCGAAATTAGAAACATTCCAATTTTCCAGATCGGCACCTTACCATCCTTTCAATTCGGTGAAGATGTCCTCTTCAAGAATGTTTGCAATTCACACGTGCCTCTTAGTGTTACAGGAATGAAGCTGTCTTGTGCCTAATGGATGCTCGCTTTACCGGACACTCTACAACATCGTACGCAGTATAGAGTAGGACGTTTAATGTGCACTGCTGACAACTGAAACAAAGCTGCTTCTTGACATGGTGTATGACGTCATTCCCCATGAGCCTGAAGAGTGGCCATAGCCGATACCATACCAGTAATAATTGATTTACATTTTAATATCACGCTGGGCATGACTCTTGAGATAAGTGCGTTTTCCTGACCGCATCTCACCGCTTTCACTGCACTGTAATTCAATTGCTAAGAGACCAGAGTAATCACCCAAGGGCACTCGTAATATGATTGTGAAGTACTGGTAAGGGAGAGTGTGTATTTGTGTGTGAGTGTGTGTATGTGTGTGTGTGTGTGTGAGACCAGGCTGAATAGTGGCGGTCAATTCTTCAGCCTTGCAAACTGTTGAATGGTGCAATCCCAGCACAAGCTGCTATGGCTTCTGCTGTAGCATCGTTATCATCGCCCCCGGCGATGGGAGTTTTTTTTCTTCTACAAAATCCACATATCTCCAGACACTGGGGTGAATGATGGAGTGTGGTGGTGGGGCCCATTAAGCTCCGCCAACCAGAGGTCTCGGCTTCATAGCTCCATGGACGCACCAATGGGAGATTGGGTAGTGAGAATTAAATTGAAAAATAAAACAGAAGAAAGAAAACGGAAAGATTGTATTGCTCAGTGAGCAAAAGAATAAGTTGAGTATTGATGTGAACGCTGTTAGACTTTTAAATTCAAGAGGAGACTGTCTGTGAGGAGAGATTACATGTACACGTACGTCCAAGCAGGGTAGGACACTGTGCCCTCTTACTCGCGTATGCTATGAGTGGCCCAGTGCCAGCGTCCAATGGTCCAGTGGTGTGAGGGGGAGGGGGGGGGGGGGGAGGGGGGAAGGGGGATACATGTACAGTGTTCGTGTTGTATTGTACTTGTACATGTCTGTACACTTTACAATACACAGCAAGCCCATGACGAAGATTCTGCTCGAAAAGCAGTGCAATTGGAAGAACGATACAAACTTTGCGGCAGGCACTTCCTTGAATTCTGATCCATTTCTTTATCCCCATACCAAGCGTGCATGAACCATACCCGAAACATGTAATACCATATTCTGCCAATTTTCACTGCCGCCTGCTAGTCGCTTCTTTGTGCGTGAAACTTTGTTTGTGTGCGTGTGTGCGTGCGCGCGCGTCTGTGTGTGTAAAATAGAATGGGATTTAGAAACAATACAGTACATGTTGACTCTACAGAATGATCGGACACATCCAGATCTACCAACTACATTTAGTTACTCATACTTATTGTCTTTTGAAGTACACGTCATCACAGCACTCAAAAGTCAGAAGAAGGGCTGAGGCTTCCTGCAGCTTCATCTGTGAAAAGAATTCGGGTGGACACACCCATTCCCATAGCGCTGCATATCACATCCGAACCAGTTCCGTTATTTTACAACGTTTCGGCTTTTCTCTCTCTGTGTCATACTAGGTGACATAATTCGCATCTTTTTTGGCGCTACACTCTGCGTATATACTGCTCTTGTGTGGCTTCCACGGTATTCATTGTTATTACCTGACGATGGCCAAGTGCCGAAACGTTGTAAAAATAACGGAACTGGTTCGGATGTGATATGCAGCGCTATGGGAATGGGTGTGTCCACCCGAATTCTTTTCACTCAAAAGTCAGTCATCAAAAGTCAGTCATTATTGTATCGTTGGGAGAGCTCACTCTTTTACTGGGACAACAGCCAACGTAGTGAACTGGAACTCACCACAAATCTGTAGTTACTACACGTAGTGGTCTGTGCTTGTTAATACTCATCCAATACTGGAATGATAAATTCATCCGTGATGCAATAACACTGAGAAAAAACTGTTTCTATCACCTCTCTACTGTGCTTTTAATTTAAATCTATTGTTCGTGTTGTTCATTTGCCTTTGCCTGTGTTTCACCTGACGATAAGGCTTGAAAGTATACTAGTGACACTTTCGAGATGTTGCTCAAAAGCCTGAAGTTTTTTTCTTCTTCTTAGTGTTGTCTCCAAGGAAACTGTTCACGTGATTAATGGTTGTCTCGCGAAAGCACAACTGTCGATTTCCGAGCTGGACTGGCTCAACAACGCGACGCAAGGCGCTTAGAAAAACACAATGCAATCGTTTGGAGACAATCCGAGCGTGAAGGTGATAAACGAATCACCAATGACTACAGTATGTTACTTTCTGTTCAGTGCCAGGTCAGGCTAGTGCTGCGTGTACATCATGTAGATCTACTACTACTACTACTACTACTACTACTACTACTAGTACAGCCATTCTGTACTGCTAAGTAATAGGTATGCTGCAAACGGCACTCTCGCACTGGTCCTGAACACCGCGCGCCGGCCGCCTGGTCGCCCTCCGAACTTCCAAAGCCGATAGATAGAAAGCGACTTGCACTTCCACTGTTCCAGTGCTCAGTAGATCCATTGGTTCAGGTATGACTTTGCAAAATAATAATAAAATGTAGAGCTACAAAAATCGTAGAGTGCCAAGGCTTTACTGTACAGTCATACGTACATTGTATACCAGATGATGCATGATGTGAAGAAGAGGTTGGTACGACTTTGGCGATAGTAAGGGAAGAGTGTGTTGCTCCGTACATGGGAGCTCGCGGTTTTCCTGCCGACTTGAATTCTCACTTGACTGACTCACGACTGCCATCCAGAGCACACGAGAAGATGATTGTTGTTCTATTTCCTAAATCCAAACGACAATTTCTTCCCAATAACGAGGTACATGAACGAACATGAACATGACTGTAGGGCTGCTCAATGAAATCCGATCACGTGAGTCAAGTACGCGCGGGGCGTTGTGCAGATCTGCAGACGCACAGGCCACACCTGCGAATGCTGGGATGGGAACTGGTGCAGAGCGCTAACTTACTTACCAGTATAACAACTGGACGCGTGGAATCGGATTTCATTGAGCTGCGCTAGCCCTTTCTGCGGAGACCAGGACAACAGCGGGCCATGTAAACATACCGAGGATCTACTCTGCACAAATCGTCAGGTGCTAGAAGAAGGATAGCTCGAGTTTCGAGTAGTACCGGCCGAAGAACAATGACCTGAATAGAAAAGCGAAAAAAAGAACATCGGATTCGGACGCTTTCCGAACGAGAGAGAAACACACCGGGCAACACGGACAGTTGTCGACTACATAGTGTCCTATGGCTGCTCCTTGATCCTGCAGACAGACAGGCAGCATGGCCTGTTCGCTGGAGAATCATCGAGCTGCAGCGCAGGTTGGGGAAGGGACAGCACTGACCTAATGTCGTTACGTTCGTGAGCTTGTTCGGCCTCTTGAGCGTAAGTCCGGCTCAGCTGTGTTTTATTGATGCAATAATTATGACAAATGTCCAAAACAGAACTAGCAACAGCAGTAGTTCGTAAGTCAGCACAGTGGAAATCCAAGGTCCCCGACGCAGACCCGCGGCAGCACATGGTTGTGGGTCGCAAAACCGCCATGTACAGTATCGAGCAGAGTGTGAGTGTGCAAGATGCCAGCGCAGCTTTTCTGCATCTCACGCATGCCTTTGCGCATTCTTTGCGGCCGTTTGCCCACATTGCCGACCCGCGGCAGAAGCAATTTGTTACGACGTGCTGAAACGGCCAGAAGAGAGAGAGAGAGAAAGAGCCGTGGAGAAGTCGGCTCCGCTGTCGAAGTGGGGATACAAATAGGTTGGAGCCTGTCCGTCCCCTGGGCTCCAGTTTCGTTTGCTTGTAGAACGGAAGAGGTTGTGTTGGCTCACACGCCAAGCGTAGGGATGTCGCCTTTGGCACTGCCGCGGGGCGTGTGGAAGTCGTGGAGATCTGGCGGTGGAGCATCACGATGGATAGTCGCATGGCTCTTGAATCAAGTCCTGGTTCGAGTTATTCAAGCGAGACTGGAATACGAGGAACACCCTCAAGGTGAGTGGACGCGACCTGTCGGGGAACATATTTTTCTTGTCACTTCCTGAATGGAACACATTGACCTCGCTGTCAGTGGCGCTTGTTGCCCGTCACTGTTACGCGTGTGTGTCCGCGATGGTTTGGCATCTACCAGCTTTGCGGAGAGCTTGCTCACTGCGTGGCCATCTGGGACAGGCCGTAGATTAGCGTCTGTCAGGAGGACGAAGCCAAGTGAAGTACAAGGAGCACTGAGCCGGTGCTACTGTTTCTCGCGCCCGCAGCTCCACAAAACCCAGAGAAATAATTACCTGTGACACCACTGTGTTTGCCAAAGCTTGGCAGGTAGCTGACGAGATCAAGTGTGAAGTCATCCGGAATATCTGCCCCCCCCCCCCCCACACTCTCACACATTTTTATTGAGTTCATGATCAATGAAAAGATATGTATCACGGAGAGCGTCACATTCATGGTTCAGGGATACCACTTTTCAGTGGTTAGAAATCTGAAAGAATCAGCCCTCCCCCCCCCCCTCCCCCCCCTAGGCCTCGACCAAATATGCTTGCGCATATTTCCGCATATTTTGTGAGACAGTTCATATATTATGGCATATTGAGCGACAAAGGGAATATTGGAATGAAAGCAGCATATAATTCAAATATTCTGAAGAAAATGAGGACAAAACATTCAAATTATGGACAAAATGTGTTCAGAAATGCCTTTTATGGATGAATTTGGAATTGTTGAGGCGTTTGCTACATTTCCCCATGGATGAACACTTCGCTACGGTTCCTGGGGACACACCCCAGCCATACTATTCCGCATGTGTTGTTAATTTGCACCATAAGCATGATAGTCGTGAAGCCAATGAATATTCCAAGGTTGTAATTTTACTGAAATGATCTAAACTTTCTGCTTGTGTCGAGCATATTTTGGCATATTTTGGCATATCTTTTTGCATATCTTGCTAAGCCTGTGGCATATTATGGACGTTTTCCCTGATATGCGACGAGCATAATATGCTCTTTTTTTTTAGCATATTTGGTCGAGGCCTACCCCCCCCCCCCCTTGCCAGGATAAAAGGTTAGATAGGAAGGGAAGGCAACTAAACAGATTTAGGGGCCGTCCGGGGTTACTGATTGTTTTTGAGAAACAAGAAGTCTTAGCTTTTTTCAACGCCCACCCACCCACCCACACTTTCTGCAGGTAAAACACAGTCTGACAAAATATTGATTTCGATCTTCGGCACCCAGACGTAACTGGGCATTCTCTATGTACATTCAGGAATTATTTTCAAAACGAAACTCCTAAAACCCACCCACGCCCGAACGAAAACATTTCGTTTTGAAAATACTATAGGTAGCCTTGGACGACTTGGTGAACGTTCGCATATTGCCTTGGCAGAATGTTCGTCCGTGAAGACTTAGATTATATCAGTTCCATAAGTGGAACACGACAACAACCCCATAGGCCTATTTTCTCATCGCTCGGTAGCTTTGTCAATGTGTTAGGCCTCGGTTGCTAGCATTTGGAAGCCTGAGAAACTGCACATGTCTGCGATATTCCATGGACCACAGGAGTGTTCAACTCTTCTAGTCAACGCTATGTGGAGACAGACCTATTTCGCAACAACGTAGTGTGGCAGAGTCGCCGTCCGAACATCATATTCGTCATGGCGGATGACCTCGGTAAGAAAATAGAAATGATCAGGTTCGCCCGGTTTGCAATAGCACCCCCCCCCCCCCCTTGCCCCCACCCCCAAGTGTTGAGAAGCACCCAGGTACACACCTTGTCATTGGACGGTCATCATTATGCTCAACAAACCGGTTAGTGGGTAATGCCGACATCACAATTGTGCAGGGGGAGAGGCAGGGGCATTGGAACTGGTGCGGTAGGTGCGGCTTTCTTGAAGCAATAAGCAATGGGCTATTTGGGCCCAAGTTTCAGTTTTCGCCCAGAGAGGCCCACAACCACCAATAACGAATACCTTCCGACTCCCCTGAGAGGGGCAGCTCACCAAGCAAAATGGGCCGGGAATACCCAGATCCCACCATCATCCGCATGTCTTTGAGATTATACTACTGGCATGTTGTCCTGTCCCGGGTAATACTCAGTTTAGACAAAGACCCCCCGAGTCAAATGGATCTCATGTGATTTTCTACCACCCCAACATTATGAACTCCATTTCCAACATCATCTCTCAACCCTGAAAACGTGCTGAGTAGCAGTAGCGGCTGGGGCAACCCCGCTCTCTCAGATTTCAGCTCAGTTGGTTGTGCTGTACGGTACCCCGCCTCAGAGCCTATGTAGTTGATGTCACTGCAATCATTCCAGCTAGGCAAACTGAGTTCCACTGATTACACCTGATTATGAAACCAGATTTCCGTGAGAATCAGTCTGAGATCTCTCAGGGTTTTAACTTTTAATGGCCAGCGGCATTAGGCCGGATATATTCACCCAACGCAGGGCTTGTGTGTTCGACCCATCAACTAATGCACATCTTACTACTGGTGTCCCATGCACTGCGATGTGCAGGCTGGAACGATGTTGGCTGGAACCCCTACTCCAGAGTGAAGACACCCACGCTGACCAAACTAGCGGCAAAGGGTGTTATCCTCTCCAATTCTTACACACTACCAAAGTGTGCACCGTACGTATTATTCTATTTTTTTATTCTCATTCATTCCTATTTTACTAGGGAATTCCCAACAGGCGTCATCGCCTTCTTACAGGGAACCCTAAGAACGTCTTGATGGATGATCGAAATTCAGCAGTATGACCTCCTATTGTGCAATGTTATGCAGTGCCAGGACTAGTCATATTTTGAATGAGAAATTTGGCCTGTTTGTGTCTCTCGATCTTTTGATCACATTGAACTGAAAATCAAATTCTCTCTGATTTGTTCCTTTCCGGGTTTTGCATCTTAGCTCTTCAAATGAACACACAGAGCTCAGTATCAGGGGCGGATCCAGACATCTCTATAGGGGATTCCGGTTTAGCCACAACTGAATAGCTGATACATGCGCAAGCACAATGCATATGATTTCCTGTAGTACTTTCGCAAAAGTCAGGGGGTTCCGGCGAACTCCGGAACTCCTCCCTCCCCTTGAATCCGCCCCTGAGTATAGATACAGGATGCTCCTTGCTGATTTTTTTCTGGTTGCCTGTTTGCTGCCTGGCAGGTCACGGTATGCCTTCATGACTGGCCGCCATCCAATCTACTCTGGATTCCAGGTACAGTCAGCGTGCAATGGGGCACACATGCGTTTACATCATGCAAGCAATATAACCAGTGCACCCTCCCCACATGCTCTGGAGATATGTTTGTTTTACTTTTTATTTATTTATTTCTGCACCTCGGAGCATGTCAAAACAGCCAATTGAATTGAGGAGAGGGTGAGACCAACAACGGAAGAAGAGAAAAAAAGAAAAGGAAAGCGCGTACACAAAAAGGTGTCGGGATTAGCAAGGTACGAAGCAATGGGACGCCCAGTGAGCTATGCAGCAGAAGTGACATCATAATCTTTTTTGTGATTCCTCTACACAGTGTTGAGGCGGTCTCTTTCAGGAAAAAGCCATGGCCACTTGGTACGGTATTCATTATTTTACTTTATCAAGTGAATAGGAAATGATGCCTTTTACCAGCCAAGGGCTGGCTGTCACAGATTGGCAGCATTCTGACGCTCCTTTCCTGTGCATTTTGTACTTTCCTGTGCATTTTGTACTCCTTTCCTGTGCATTTTGTACTCCACTAGGCGACTAACGCACGGCCCGATCAACCAATCGGCGCTCCCCTGGACACGCCACTCTTCTCCAATGTCATGAAGAAACTCGGCTACGAAACACACTTGATTGGAAAGTAAGCTGTCACCGCCATTAGCATCCTCAGATGTGTGCTACAATGGAATTTGCTGGTGCAATCGAACTCTTCAGAAGGCACTTTCAACAAGGACATAATTGTCTGAATGTTCATTGTATTTTTTTGTAGAAACTGTTCTTGACTCATCGAAATTCTGAAATAGATGGTCATATTAGGTGATGTCTCAAGGACATCATATCAACACCACAATCACATCCCAATAGCACCATAAATTCATAATGGCATGAAAGTGACACCACAATGACGTCACAGTTTGAACCATGAACAGATACTTGCATGGAAGCATATGTTACAGGTAGTTCGAGAAATCACAAGAGGCCTTGTGTCAACAATGTTCTCCATCCAGTTGCAAACACTATGCTGTTGTCTGTTCTGATCTCCGCTTCTAGATGGCATCTTGGCTTCTGCAACTGGTCTTACACGCCAACGGAGAGAGGGTTCGACTCATTCTTTGGATTCTACGGTGGCTCCACAGATCACTACGTGCACTGGAAACTCTGTATGCTCTAGAGACTAGGGAAAAGCGGTTTTGTGAATGATATCACTGTTAACTTTATGCTTTGCATTGAGTTGGAACAGAGAGTTACATCATCGTGTATGTTTGCATGAAGGGGCAAACCAGGGAATGCATTGCCGCTCTATGCCCGTCAGTTCAGTTACTGAACATAAGATTCCAGTAACTCCACACCACCGATCATTGCCCCTTGTATTTTGTGACAAATGTTGGTCCAAAGTCCAGGGCAGAGAGTCTGAGTTCCATGGTTTTCTTTCACTTCGGTGCACCCAGCAAGCTTTTGAAGTTCATGTAAGAGCATAATGAGAGTTTACCAGGAGAGCCATTTTCTTCAAATCAGTGCCCAGAAGAATAGCTAAAGTAGGCTTAATTAAAGGCTAAGCCTGTATCACTATTGTCTCCTTGCAATAAATACAATCCTGGGCACATGGTTGTCTCTCTGTGCAGGGAATAAGATGCTGGGTTATGATCTTCGCAGCAATAAGGAGGAAGTGCATGAGCAGTTCCGCAACAGATTCTCCGCTGTAAGTAGCAGAAAGGTACAGCACGCTGCACATGCCCTCATGTGTGTGTGTGTGTGTGTGTGTGTGTGTGTGTGTGTGTGTGTGTGTGTGTGTGTGTGTGTGTGTGCACACTACCATGCATACACACATAAGTATGCACAAATGCATGGACACATACGCACACCTGTCCTGTCCTGAAAATTGCCATAGAACGGTCACATGTCCCCTCATACGAGGGGCCGACTGACATGGGGTAGGTTGTGTGTGTGTGTGTGTGTGTGTGTGTGTGTGTGCGCGCGCACGCGTATTTCAGAAGGCCATTCTCAAAGCGTGATATGCCACGACGTAAGTGCAAGGAGGAGCGCAGCAAGGCGATAGATGAATACTTGCTGGCACCGGTACTACCGCAACCGAGTTGGGCGCAGATGATGAAGGGCACGTAGACCGACCGTCGGGTAGACATTTATGGGCAGTGAGGCCTCTGGTGCTCCTAAACCACCGCTGACACGTGGGGCATCGCTTGCTCCCAATCTGATCTGCTATCGCCTTGCTGCGCTCCTCCTTGCACTTGTGTCGGGCCATATCACTCTTTGAGAATGGCCTTCTGAAATAATATTATGCGTGCGCGCGCACACACACACACACACACACACACACACACAGCACACCACGTACACAGAAATACACATATCGGCTGTAGAATGGTTCACACTGCTGCAGAACATACTTCCAGCAAGAATTTTGACAGCGCTTCCAGCCACACATCCTCACAATCTGCTCGAACTTCAATACTGCCTGTGTGCATATGAGGCATATTGATTAGTTTTAATCCAATCCTGTCTATATATGCTTGCTTTCTTACAGCACATCTTCACAAAGCACGCTCTGAGGGTTATTCGTAAGCATGACAGAAGCCGGCCGCTGTTTCTGGTCACAACGCTGGCTGCTCCACATGCACCCATGCAGGTAAGAGTGCTTTGCTTTGAAAGTGATGTCTTTACAAATGTCAGGCACCCGTGCAAGTGAGTACATACTTCGAATGTGATGTCTACGCAAACGATATTCTTAGTCCCTCAATGCCCATTTCTAGGTTCCACTACATCCGCGTCCCGTTGTGACATTCCACTCCTGTTGGTTTCCATGGTTTGTTTGACCACTGTTTCAATGACTTTACCTCCTGTATCCATGGTTTCGTGTCCTGTTTCCATGGTTTCTTGTCCTGTATCCATGGTTTCTTGTCCTGTTTCCATGGTTTCTTGTCCTGTTTCCATCGTTTCTTGTCCTGTTTCCATGGTTTCATGACTCTTATCCAGGCACCCATACGCTACAGAAGACTGTACCGACGGCAGGCTAAAGAAGGATGGTCAGCCAAGGAAATGACATATGCCGGTAATCACAGAAGTACTCTACTTGTTTATTCTGACTTCAATCAGAAACAGACGCCGGGCCGAGAAATTAGATATTGTGCTCGCTGCTCCCGAATGGGTCAATGCATAATGCCAGGGAATCCCTGGACGAAAGACTGCAAATGGTGTCTTGTTGCTCGAGTCTGAAATTGGATGTTGTCAGCAGACAGGGTGAAAATACTGTAATTTTGATTAAAAAAAAAACCCAGGTCAATACAACTCTTGCCTTCGATGTGGGAATTTGCATCATTTTCTCCTTTTGTGTGTACATTGTATGTACTGTTAACCGTGAAATTATTGCCATGGTCTAATTTCTGCGAATTTCGCGACCGCGTGGAAATTGCGAACTTTAGACAGCGCGAAAAGGAGATCCATGAAAGGTTTAGCAAGAATGCCATTCTGCAATCGCAAAATTAAAACCTCGCAAACCTGTCCGGATTCTGAAAACGCGAACTAAAAACGCCGCGAAAATTTCACGCTTCACAGTATGAAAGATCAACCAATAAGAGGACGGAAAAAGTGTTTTAACCCTTTAAGAGCCGCCCCATACTTGAATGCGTCGTAAACGACGCATTCAAATGCAAAACTTCAAAAGATCGTAACTCAGTCTAATCTCGCTCAAATCCATCGATCGAAATATCCAGGGCGAAGAGAAAACTCTCACCTGTCGGGAGAAACAATCCGCGAAGCGCTGCGAGCAACGGTTCCCGAGATAAATCACTCGTAAGTTGAGCCGCGATCGCGGCAATTTCAAAAGCGCGCAGTGCAACTTTAGTACTCAGATTTTTGAGACTTTTCGTCACGCTGGTTTACTCGAATTTGCACGGGTTTCACTGTTGATATTGTCAAGGGTACACAGCAAAAAATTTGGAACTCCACGATCGAGTAGAATGAAATATCTGGAGCGGGACGCAATTGGACGCATTTGGGGCATTTTTCGTACTGTCGCTGCGATCTAGCGCTGGATAGACGGTGTGCTGGCTATCATGATCGACCTCATTCTCTTCCTCTCGCGAATACCTTTCCAGGAAGCCCTAGATTGTGAGGATTGAGTGAGTAGAACTGGAGCTATGATCCGAGGTACATGAAAAAATGCAGATTTTCGAAAATTTCCTGTGGCTCTTAAAGGGTTAACTTCTGAGTTTCACGCACAAAGTGATCATCAGAAAACAGTACATGTATGTAAGATCTGTTGGAGTGATACTATGACTATTGCAGCATGTTTTTCTAAATCTAGGATTTCTTTCGTGGGTTCTGTCTTCTCGTGTCCCCTGGCCCACAGCAATGGTGACTGCAGTAGACACTGCCATTGCCAGGATAGTGTCAATGCTGAAGAAGAGGAAGATGCTGGAGAACTCCATTCTGATTTTCACATCGGACGTAAGTAACCCAATGGATGTGAACACATTGACTTAATTCCCTGTCTTTCAAAGAAGACAATTTGATGGTTTGTATTGCGAAACATTCACCATCAATTCCTTTACGTATTATGCGTACTACCTCTATGTCTGTCCATCTGTGAGTCCGTCCGTCCGCCCACCTGTCAGTCGGTTTGTATGTCCATCCGTTCGTAGGTCCGTCTGGCTGTCGGTCCCTCTATCTGTCCATGTGTCTATGTAGCTGCACATCTGCCCCTCTTTCTATCTCTGTTCATTCATCGGTCCACCGGTTTGTTTATGTTGCCAATCTACATGCATAATTATACACAGTCTGATGAGTAGTTTTAACACGAAACTCGGAGTCACGATAACCATATTGGTCTCGGTTGTTCTGGTTTGTGTAATACGCCGTGCCCTTGTTAGGAGATCAAGCACTGTTTGCGGCAAAGACATGAGATACTTTTGTCTACAATCATCCATCACACATATTAAATAAGCCTTGCAAGGTTGAAAACCTTTTGTTTAAGTTTGGTTGACAGTGTGTTACAAGGCGGAGGACGCAGTAAGGAGCATTGTTTTCAACACTGTGCGTCCTCCGCAGTGTAACATTCTGTCCACTCAACATGCACGTACTTGTGCTTGCCTAACCATGTATGCACTGGTTTGATTGCCTCTCTCCTCACATCTAGAACGGTGCGTTTGCCCCGGCCAGCAACTACCCATTGCGGGGCACAAAGTCAACACTGTTTGAAGGAGGAACACGAGTGCCGACCATGGTGTACAGCCCACTGCTACAGAAACATGGTTATGTCAATACGGAGTGAGTTAGCACATGCTTCAAAGTGTTCTAGAATACATTCTCATCGTGTTCCGTGTCATAAATCGTTTGAGTGCAATCCTGATCATGCTGTGGCATATCAGCGGTCTACTCGTGGAAGACACTGGTTCTGCAATCACACCTGTTGTGCAGCGAGTCCCCCTTTTTTTCTATACTTTCACAACTAAACCCTGCCACTGAAAAGTAGATTCCGCTTTAAGTGTGCATTGTAGTTCCATATACAGCCAAACGGAATTGTACTACACTCAACCTTGGTACTAAGTATCAGTCACCGGCAGACCAGCAACCCGGGGTATGACAGTTACTTGCAAGTGCAGTGTTGCTCAATGAAATCTGATCGAGCAAGTCAGCGCCGTGCCCTGGAACTTACAAGCGAAAATCTCAATGTTCGCAGGTCTGGGGCTACGTTACGCTCGGAGCGTAATTGAATCTCTAAAAATCTAAATTATCGTGTCCGTTCCCGAAGGGAACTCACGACGGCCGCTAACACCCGATAAATCCTAGCGGCAGATGCAGCGCCTAACGGTGGGGGTGAGTGGATAAGTCTCACAACCACTGGCACAAGTGCCGAAAACGACCCCATCAGCTCCATCCATATTTGAATCACTCGATCGGATACACTGAGCAGCACTGTGCTTGTATATGCTACTAAATACAGGTGTATTCACAGAATGAGTAAAGTTCCATACCAGCAGCCAGTAGTGCTAAGTTTGCAGCTTGAGCAGCTGGTTTTAGTTGCAGTTGCACTGCATTGGGTTATGAGAGGAGAAAGCATTCCGCATCACTCAGGCCGGAATTTTGGGACACTTGAGAAAGAGAAACTGTGTTGTGAAGAAGCGCTGATTGCATCTATCTCTGCATTGTGTGCTCTTTCGTTCCTGTACAGTCTGTTCCACAGCACGGATTGGCTACCGACATTGGCCTCCATTGCTGGTGCAAAACCGGAGGGTAAGTGACAAATGTTTGCCTTGCAAATAAAAATTCTAAAAAATCAATATAATACTATATCAGTAAAATTTGTTTTGCAATCCTGAAAGATCAAGTGACAGATGCAGCTCCGCTGATGAGTTCCCAGGAATAATATCCTGGGTCCTGGAATTGATTACAGGTTGACTGCTGCCTGTGGAGGGATGCCTGTGGAGGGATGGAATATACAATTTTTCTTTTCTACAAAAACACACGCCATTTGACGGCACAAAGCAGCAAGGCAGCGATGAGACACATAGAAAGGCAGGAGTGGGGGAGAGGCAGGGGCAGCTTGACTGACCATAGGGTCTCGGCTTCATAGCAACCCAAGCACAAGTGCTAGTGAGTTTGTAGTCATGATACCAACCACTCCTACATGTACCTGCTGCCACAATAGCCAGAGTTCCCAGATTACCTAGAGTACCTAGAGTAAGGAAAAGCCTTTTGTACGGGCAAAGCAAATGTGCTTACATATGACACAAAATCTCAATACAAAAACAATTGATCGAAACGCCAAGAATCTCAAGAAAGACTCGATCCTGTGTTGCCATAACGGGAACTGAAACCCAGCACAAATCTAAGAAGATGGCAAGTACAGACAGTTGTCGGTCGATTACCTAGAGTGCTCAATACCACAAGGATGGAGCATTACCACAAAGGCAGAAGAGAACAGAGACAACCGCGGCTAGGTCATTGTCGTAACACTGCCGTTTCATGCACACAGCATAGCTAAGGCAATCCTCAGACAACTGATAACCTGTACAACATCTGGGTCCAAATTTGCAACCTTCATCTGAATCCTAGTGCGCTCATACCTCAGCTTTCTGGGCAATTTAGCCTAGTGGGCATCCTTTATGAGTTTAAGTGAAAACGCTATTAGTCCTTTGCAACTTGTTCCAGCAATAGTGACGTCAAATGCCATACCTCCCTCCTTCCCCCTCCCCCCCCCCCAAAACATAAATGTGATTCAGAGGTCTGGACATTTCAAAGTGTACCTGTAGTGCCCGGTCCTGGACCGCCCGGATAGGGGTAGTCCTGGACCGCCCGGATAGGGGTAGTCCTGGACCGCCCGGATAGGGGTAGTCCTAGACCGCCCGGATAGGGGTACAAATGTGCAGGCTCTCCTGTCTTCTATTTCTCAGACATTCCACACAATGTGGACGGCATGGACGCCAGCCAGTCGCTACTCGCGGGCATGCCCTCGCCACGGCAAGAAGTCCTGTACAACGTGGAAAGAAACGGCGGTCGCTACAAAGCGTCCATCCGCGACACGCGCTGGAAGCTGCTGATTGGAAGCTGGAAGAAAATAAGAGGTGGGTGCGAGAAACGCACACAATTTGGTGGTACAGTGAAACCGGTGTAAGACGACCGTTCAAGGGACCTTCAAAACGTGGTCTCTGTTACCAGGTGGTCTCCTTATCCAGGGTCATTGGACTGGAAATAGCATCCTTGGGTCCTGGTTTCAGTTGTCTTCTGGGACAGATGGTCGCCCTATCCGTGTGGTCGCCTAAACAGGTTTTGCTGTATGCAAGGCGACCCTACTGCAATTAAACTGCTATTCATGAAAGCAAGAATGTTCTCAGCCTAAGAGGATGTGACCCCTTGGTTCTTTGGCACACGACAGTTCAATAGCATTGATGAAGGACCAACTGGGGAGCCTGAAGCCTGACTGCCACAGACCTGGAGTAGAGCTGCAGGTATGGAGCAGATGAACTTCGGTAAACTAGAAAATAGTTTTCAACGGATACTACTGCATTATCTGGAGTATAAGACGCACTACAATAGAGTATATTCTGCACCCAGATTTTGTGTCACGAAATACAGACACCTACCGTTTCTATCCCCATTGACTTGGCAATTGTAGTAAACGCTGCACTGGCGTGGTTTGGTGAATTGCTCGTGTTTAGAGTGCGGCTTGTACATGTACTCTGGAAGATACGGTAAGTGTGCAATGATACTGTTTTCTGCTACTGCTGTGCTACATCCTGTGCACAGCTGGTTGGGGGAATGATATCGATGTCATGCTGAAGGCACAGCACCCGATACCGCTCCGATCGCTGCTCAACCCGTCCGGCGTGCCGTGGAACACGTCCGCCTCGTACTCGCGCATTGCACAGCAAGCCGGCCTGGAGAATACGGATCTCAGCGGCCCGTACTGGATCGGGACCACTCCTTACTCGCTGTTCGACCTGAAAGGTATGCTGACGATCAAGATGGATGTGTACGTGTTTTTAGATGCAACATTAGCGTATTCTCATACCGCCCATTGTAATCCAAGTCTTGATATATCCTGTAAGCAGAAAGGCAACGTAAACCATTTGAATGATTCTGTGGGAGCCTTCCCGACATGAACAGAAGGTGGCATGGTGTGTCTGTACACTTCTTCAACTTTGTTTTGAATTAGACTTTGAAGTAGGCATTATGGAGCAAAGATTTCAATCAATTCAGTATTCGAAAGGAAGTATTCAACAGGAACTCAAGCGCTGGTGGTGGTTGACAGTAGGGCATGATTAACCACAGGTACCGGTATTGTAGAAGAATAGTTTGGGAAACTCCAAACGCAGCTCTCTATCATGTCTGTCAAATAATGATCAACACATGCCAAGACAATCACATGCTCTAACTGGCTGTATTGTGTGTCCGGGGTGCTCGGTCGGCCCGTCACCGTCCAGTTCACATGCTTCGTGAGTTGGCGATGGTGGAGGGTCGGGTTCCCCTGCCGTGATTAGTGCTGCAACGAGCTTGTTTTGTGTGAAAGTATAATTATTATATTTAAAAGAGTCGGCGTGGAGAAAGCAATTTTATGAGTGCAACAAAGAGTATAATAGATGCAGACATGGCAGCCTCAGTTCCGATAATATTCACTGATGAGCGGATTCAGCGGAACACGAAAATCGATTTTGAATGACATAAAAAATCCTTTAAAAATCCATTAAGTCGTTGTTGTCTGGCCATGTCTGCATTTATTATACTCTTTATTGCACTCGTATATTATATTTGAAACTCGGATGTTGAGCTATAAATAAATGTAAAAAGGAAAAGGACATATGGATACGAGTTTCGAGTAACTCTCCATCCCTGTAACTGGATACTATATACAGTCAGAAAGTGCAATAACTAGGCACAAAACTGACAGAGTACTGAGACATTCGACGTCCTGACACCTAGCTTCAACACATCTCCGTAGCACTAACCGACAGCCTTCCAACTTGAAAGGTTCAAGGTTCGTTTCCATATGTCCTTTTCCTTTCTACTTTTATTATTGGCTCAATACCCGAGTTTCAAATTATTATTATTATTATATTTATAAATGCGATTAATAGTATAAGTGAAGCGGACATTACAAAATGATGAATGAGAATACATGTATCTAAAATGGTTGTTCCTAATCGATTTTCTTGAGACTATCATCAGGGAAAATCGTCTCACAATAGAGGCTATACGGAGAAACAAACTACTTATAGGTTATAAGATAGTGGGGAGTATACAAGGTGAGGTGTGAAGAAAAAAAACTAAAGTGGGAAAGAAGACGAAAAAAAATAGAAGAAAAGATGTGAGAGTGTTCCGACGGTGTGAGCTACTACAAAAGGTGAGTGAAATGAAGGCGTGGAACTGATGATAGTCTCAAGAAAATCGATTAGGAACAACCATTTTAGATACATGTATTCTCATTCATCATTTTGTAATGTCCGCTTCACTTATACTATTAATCGCATTAATAAAGTTATTGTCTCGTCGTCGCCTTTTCATTATATTTATACCTCACTAGTTTGAGGGAAAGATTTATACTTCAAGTATTACAAAATAATTGAGAGGCTTAGAATCGTTTTTATCAAAATCTAAATATTTGCCGGGTTGGAAGGTGGGATCTAACTGGCTGCAAAGTACAGTCATGGCCAAAGAAATCTAACCGACCTGCCATAAGCAGCACCAAGGCTCATGCAGCCACTTCGACCATCAGATCGGTTTATGGAGCGTGCGTGATGTAATTGAAATGGAAATGCGGCATTGCATTTGACTCTCAGGTCAGCTTTCTTTGGCAGCGGCTACAGATAGAGAGTGTGGTGTTCGATGTGTGTCTAGTTCACCCTCATTTGACTAACCACAAATTACTGGCACTTCACATAACATGACATATGTATGTGTGTACTTTTTGTTTTGCGTTGTACAGAAGACCCGTGTGAAAAGATCAACTTGCTGCACTATCGTGGTAGCCATGACGACCAGTTCACCCGCCTGTGGTCACGCTTGCAGGTATACATGTCCAAGACACACGACGATGTCGTCAAGGCAACCAAGCCAACCCGCCTGGCCGATCCACGGCGTTTCAACGGCTCCTGGTCCCCAGGATGGTGTTGAAGTGTTACACGCAATGGAGCTGGCGGAACATATCCACTTCCAAGTGAAGAACCAACTGGCATTCTTGGCCTTCAAATGCTGCTCAAATTTGACTTGTTTTTTGGATACCAATTTGGATACTGTACCAAGAAAATTTGGGCTTTGGTATAATGCACAATTCTCAATTTTCTAACCCCCCCCTCGAATCCGGCAGCTAAATTTGTGAGCTTGAGAAAGTAAGTGAAAGAGACTTCTAACTGCTCATCCATAATATTGTTAAAACATTTCCTTCCCTAGAAGACGATAAGGAGCATCATTTGGCCGTTGAAATTTTCACCGTGACTTGACTCGCCGAGCAAACACCCGTTTTCCCCAAAGGCAATTCATCAAGTTTCCAGCCTCAGAACACCTTCAGGAATAAATCTTGAAAGGAGAGAGGTTGTTAATGAAATATAGTTTAGCATCTCGAATAATAATTACAACTGCAGTTGATAATCTGATGTTTCTGTGAGTCGCTTAGTCCACCATTCGCTTAGAATTAGTAACTTAAATCTGTTCTTCACAGAGAGTCAACATGCGTGTTAGGAGTGACTTGAATTACATGTACGACTGCAGTCTGATTTTACAACAGACTCTTCTCCTCCATGCGCCCTAAAGTCGACCATTGCTACCCTCCGTAGCCGTTACTCACATCAATAATGTTGTACCCGTGACCCCTTCGTTGTTTGAAATTACTGGTGTGAGCAATGGCTACCGCGGGTAGCAATGGTCGGCTTTAGAGCGCATGGAGGAGGAGAGTTTGTTGTAAAATTCAACAGTCGAATGGTAGATCTACCGTTCACAGTTTTATTGAAAACACAGTGTCATGGTAAGAAAGACACATGACTGTACACTATAGAGTACAGTGTTCATAGTGACGTGAAGACACGACGTGTTGTAGTGTTGATACAGCAAGTGATACACATGTGCTGGTAGATGCATGGTATTTTCCTAGATAAAATACAGTGGGTTATCACTCCCTTAGTATTGACTCCCATAGATTTTTGCTATACCCAAGCAGTCAAATATTCCTGCACATTTCACTCCTTCGGGCTATATTGACCGCTTATAATTGACTCCTTCTTAGCGATTGAACACATGCTTTGGTTAGTCGTGATAAATCTAATATTGACTTCGTACTTGGTCAGTATAGGAAATAAAAGACCTCGGCTTCGCCTCGGCCTTTTACTCGGCTTTTATTTATTTTTTATTTTTATACATGTACATACATGTATATTGACTTCGTACTCAGTCAATATTAGAATAATAATGATACAATCATAATTATTACTATGATTGTATTGAACTCTGCGTGAGTGCGCGTGTCCAGACAGTACAAGCAAACGCAAGTACATGTATAACTATTAGGGGGCGTTCGAATCGTCTTCATCGACTGCTCGAACACATTTTTAGAAAGAGATTAGTTGAAGTGTTCCATGAGAACGGTTTCTATCATTTTTAGAGTTTTTCAGTGGAATTGTCATGGCGATGATGACGTCCGATCAGATCGACCATATATCTCCACGTACTACGTGACGTAGCAAAACTCTTCGGAACTAATCCACCCCTCCCATCGGATGAGGTTGTGGAGTTTCGAGGAGTTTAGTTTTTCTGAAAAGGCCAATAAGGGACCATCGCAAAAGTTCGCAGAAGCCCCTGAAACGAAGAGCATACGATTGGGGGGGAGGGAGTCGGTGCGAAAATCGCAAACCGGGCTTCAATTCAAAAAAGTATTGACGACATAATTATAGGAGCTGTAGGATTAGCATGCCATCACAGCCGGCGTAGATCGCTTGTCAGGACGTGTATGGGGAATGTGAAAGCAATATACACCAATCAACGTTCATTGTACATGTAATGCTCAAAGGATACAACTGCATAGCTCTAGCTGTTCTCGCTCTTAGATCACCCACTGCAAGGTGATATCATCGTTGCATTTATAAAGTGCTGTACATTGTTACACACTGATACAACAATGCTTGTGTAGTATTATAATAATTATTATGTGTGAGCATCCAAGTGAAAAAATGAAGCCCATATTGTGACTGTCGTTTCGTTTGAGGGGGGGAGGGAGGGGGATCAGGCCCGAAACTCACGGTCTTCGTTTCAGGGGCTTCTGCGAACTTTTGCGATGGTCCCTAAGGCCACCTCTTCAGAAAAACGAAACTCCTCGAAAAGTCAAAGAGTGACAATTCGACTTGCGGGCATTTGACATGCGTTACCATGACACTAGATACATATATGTTGGCCAAGTACTTAAAAAGTCTTTGCCTTACCACTGCCAGTGCTCGAGCTCATGATTTGCCTGTGAGATCATCTGGAGATAACAGGATTGTGCTATGGGGAGGGGGGGGGGGGGGGGGGGAGGGGACGGTGCGAGATGTTCGAAGGTGGTTGCGTTCCTACGCAAGTGGAAGACTCAAACAAAGTCTCTTCGCATGCCACGGTTCTTTTCACAACCATCACACCCTCCCCTCTCCCCCGTAACACAATGCTGTTATCTCCAGATGCAGCCTCTATCTTTTCGCACCATGCTAAGGGCGCGTTCGAATTGTCACTCTTTGACTTTTCAAGGAGGTTCGTTTTTCTGAAGAGGTGGCGTTATTGGGCTCTTCAGAAAAACGAAGCTCCTCGAAACTCATCCGATGGGAAGGTGGATTCGTTTCGAAGAGTTTGGAATAGCTACGTGTACGTAACGTAGTACGTGGAGATGGTCGATCTGATCGGACGTCATCATCGCCATGACAATTCCACTGAAAACTCTAAAATGATAGAAACCGTTCTAATGGGACACTTCAACTAATCTCTTTATAACATTTGTTTGAACAGTTGAGAGAAGACAATTCGAACGCACCCTTAGAATATCTACACAGACGGGAGAGGAGATAGATCTATCTTGACAGTCTAGTGTATGGTCGTCGCTCCTGGCACGATGTACTCAACGAATGCTAGCCACAAATACTAGCTAGCAGGGAGAAGTATAAAACTGCTAGCTGAAGATACATGTATCTGGCTACGACTGCACGTCTCGAAGATCTATGTCATGTTGTGGGGACATTCTGCTTGGGGGTGCTCACTCCTCCAGCATCCAAAGCCTAGCGCTAATGAGGCGTCCAATCTACGAGCAGCAACGCGCAAGAACATCCACGAGACCACCGCGTTGCCACACGGTGCGCTTCTCCTAAACTGCTAAAGCTCACACAGGGAGAATAAAGCTGCCCTCTCCAGTTCCTCCCACAAGGTAAGGTGTTCATCGAGAGCAAGGTAATGTTCTTAGGATGTTCCTCGTTCTCCTTGCACCCTGAAGCTCTACCGCATTCCGGCGGTGCTGCGCCAGGGCGATCATCACCTCGAGGGATTCTACTCGATCTCCTGCAGGCGCTTGCACTGATGAGCTTCTTGCTCCTAAGCTCCGTATCCTCTGCTCGGCAGAGTTCTGAGGTTTCCTGTACGCGAACGCCGCCGCTGCATACATGAATTCATGATGAGCGAACATTATTACTCCGATTCGTCAGCCGTCAGCCCGAGCGACATGCACACACAGAGCAGCTGATACCGCTGGGGCTTTCCTTGGATCGTGTTCCTCGTCGCTGGGCGACCGGCGAAGTAGCTGCGACGTGAAGCTATCGGGATGTACCCGCGTACCCAGCCAGCTAGGAACTGAGCTCAGCTTCGTGTGTATTGTGAGCAAGAGAGGGATATGGAAGAAGACAAGAGGACCCTGTTTGTAGAATCCAGTCCAGAAATGCTGGTTCAAAGTGCATGGGGCCACAAGCCCTATGAAGCCCAGAGTCGCCTAGACCGATTATCGACCGGTGCCTCTCGATCATACACGCTTGAGGCGCGCGTTCACACACAGCAGAGGTAACATGCGCGTAACGTTCAGGTCAGTCTACGGACTCCCCTAATCTAATCAAATCCTATAATATTATTTTTTATAGCCTATTGAAATGCGGGAGCGGCAAGTAAACGCAATGTGTGTGTGTACCCAGTTACATTGCCTGACGTAGTTTGAAGGGAATCGGATGTTGAAAGCCGTGGCTTCAGTGAAACGGGCGCGGGCCGCACTGCCAGAAGAGACCCAACCGGAGAGGCTGACGGCTGCATAATAGTAATATACACGCACATGTAACATGCGTACTTGCAGCCGGCGTCGATCCATGTCTTCTTAGGTGGCTTGGATCGACGACAACTCTTCCACCGTAGAGTATGCAGCGAAGCCTGAAAATACTTTGCTGCCAAGTACCATGCCACAATCTGCACAGAACCAGGGCGCACTGTCTGTACGTGCCTGTTGTCTGTTGACAAGTAATTCACTTTCGCAGCATCAACTCAGGTGCGGCGGCATCACTCATGATTCACTGTCTTCCTGTGATCGTCACGTTAAAATTCTCTTTCCGTCACCCTGAGCTGAGATCTAGCCCCGTAGCCAGTTATTGCATACATGCAGCGTGCATTTCCGTCTACGCCTAGCGCCTTTACACGTAGATTTACACGTACAGCCTCTGGAGTATTGTCACGTCTCTTACTCTAGGTCATACTTCTTGCAGACTTGATCCCAGCAGATAGTTTTGCACTGGATGACTGTGTTTCTGGCGCTGGGTTGCAGAGTGCTAGCTTGGCAGTACACAGCTACAGGCGACGTGTGCGAGTCACTGCGAGGGAAAGAGCCCAGCCCGCGCGTCTGTCGAGCAAGTCTGCGGCCCAGTGCGGGGCGAAGTGGGAGGACGAGTGAAAGGATTTGTCACTTCCAGTCTCACTCCAGTGACAGTGCGCTGTGCTCATCTTGACTTGAGGCAAAGCAGACACCAGCAAGAAGAGAAAGAGAAGAGAGGAGAGCGTTCTCCATCCTGCATCACCTCGCATTATTGGTCACACTGGGCAGGCCGAATCATCACAGTGGCATATGCTGACACGGATTCGCTATTAGATTTCTGCTTGTAGCAATTATAGAAAGCCGCGGAGTCTGAGCATAACGAATACTGATTGGAATTTGTTCGCAATCGGCACTATCAAGAAGCCCAGTTGACTGGTTGGTGTGGATCGACATTGGAATAGAGCATTGGAGCTCCGGTGCTGAAAAACACTAGCTAATCCAGGTAAGCGAACTTGAATGTTTCAGTTATGGTGTGCCAGTTTTGGCGGGTCTTGGGAATTAAATTAATTTTTACATGATTTCATCATGCCTTCCGTCAGTATCTGCCCCAAACAATGTTAGTGAGGTGCATTTTTCTGAGGACAGATGGAATGTTGGTGCGTTACAAAAAAAAGCAGTAGATCTACGTGCAGGAGACATGACGACCACCTTCAACATGAGCCACAGGCACTGTGCTCCCGCACTCCGTCAGATAATTCTTCCCGTGAAACCGGCTAGTTGTAACTTTGTAAGCGGAAAGTAGTTAGGAGAGTTGAGAGCGCCACAAAAATGTTGAAGAAAAAATGTCACCGAGATGAACGGCGACATGACACTGCAGTAATTTTTTCAATAATCTTGTAGTAATCATCTGAAGAAAAGCTCTGGCTCGTTCTGTGCCACGACTATACAAGTAGCCAAAGCAGAGTGCAAAGTTTCTTAGCTTGCATTGCTGTTTCCTGCTCAGAAGCGTACACCCAAAACAGGAAAACTGCACGATATACTTCTACATGTACAAACTAATTTTTTAATGTACATGTACATGTACATTAAAAAATTAATAATTTTTTAATGTACATGTACATGTACATGCACACATGTACATGTATGGTAGAATTTGGTGTGCGTATACATGGCGTGCATGGAGACACACATTGGCCGTTATCTGGCTTTCACTCGTAGGGGTTTACAACGTGAACGAAATACAGTGCGTTAGAGATTTTAATCAGGTTAGGGGTCGTCCATAAATATCGAAGTTTTTTCACAAAACGAAATAATTTCGTTATGGGGTGGGAGGGGGTTGACCAATTTCGTTTCAGAAAACATTGTATCATGTACATGGCCGTTGTATATGCATGTATGTCAACATTTTTTACGTTCTGAGGGGGAGGGAGGGAGGGGTTGGGTCTAAACTAAAATAATTCGTTTGGTGAAAAAAGTTCGATATTTACGGACGGCCCCTTAGGTCGTTCCACGATCAAGTGTTTGTACAGTGTTGTCTATAATTAGTTTGTCTGGCACTTGCGTTGTTGGTAATTGACAACGTCAGGTGTTCAGTGCGTGTGCATAACATGTGCTGGGCTGTTTGGTGAAGTTGCTTCACTTGGCAGAGGGTAAGGGGGTGGGAATAATCTGCGAATTGCAGTAAACTAGCCATAAGACCTCGGCAAATTTTAGTGAGGCCATGATTGAAGTTCTTACCCGCACAGCACACACCCCAGGTACACCGTTTAAGGGAAGATGGAAACAGAACTATAGAGTTTACCCAATGAACTATAGATTTTATAAACTTTAAGAGTGAACTTTAAGAGTATTTACAAATTCGAGCGAATAAACACCTTATAAAAGTACTCGTGTAAGGCGGAAGATGCCTGAAAGTCTAGCCTGTAACGACATACAATTATGGAGTTACGGATAGCACCTTGATTTCAAGAGGATGTGCACATTTCTCACTGGGGAATTCGTTCTGGAATCTGGAAGAGGTCATCGTGCATATTAATGTTAAGATCTCTCCATGTTCGAAAAGAACGTTGCACCAGGTAATTGTAATTCCGGCCTCCTTTCGGTTAGGGGGTGAGTAGAGATGCTTGGTAGTCTGACTGACAACTCAGAAGCAAGTATACATTGTATACTAATCGCAATCCTACAAATAACCTCGTCTACACACTGTAAGGATAAATTAAAAATACACTGGTTGTGCTCACAAGCGTGTCATGTTGTCGCTTATCAGCAGTTATAGATTATGAACTAGACTTTAGTTGATGAGTGAGGGCTGGCTGTAGACACCGGTAGGTACGTTTCCAGGTGCAGTCCAACCTCACACTTACTAACGTACCATGTACTGTGTATTTTCTTCAGTGGGGGGGGGGGGGGGGTGAGCGGGGTAGGCGCTGCATCTTCTGCTGGAATGTGTTTGATTGGTAGCGATCGTCAGAGTGCCTTCCGAGATGGTATGAAATATAACAGGAATATCAAAGAGGGTCCCCTACCTCACGTGCTGCATACGTTCACCCATTACCCAATGGCCAGGGCTGGTGTAGACTGGGATACTAACCTACGGACAGGGCTGGTGTAGACTGGAAAACAAACCTTTCTTTAAAGCCCCTCAGCTGCGTATGGTCGTGGGAGGTGCATGTGTATGGTCCTGGGAGGTGCATGTGTATGGTCCTGGGAGGTGCATGTGTATGGTCCTGGGAGGTGCATGCGTATGGTCCTGGGAGGTACATGCGTATGGTCCTGGGAGGTGCATGTGTATGGTCCGGGAGGTGCATGTGTATGGTCCTGGGAGGCGCATGTGTATGGTCCTGGGAGGTGCATGTGTATGGTCCTGGGAGGTGCATGTGTATGGTCCTGGGAGGTGCATGTGCATGGTCCTGGGAGGTGCATGTGTATAGTCCTGGGAGGTGCATGTGTAACACTCTTACTCTTTAAAATGGCTCACAGTTACGGATTGTAAGTTGTCCATTTACAAGGAGGAGAAGAAAACAGAACGTATTGATCAATACCGAAGAAGTGACAAAAAACTTGAAAAGTACCCATACATGTACATTTGGTGAGGGCGTACGTTTCTCCCTTATTGCCCTCGCAATTACTTGGATGTGGTCAGCTGTGAAGGGAAAAAAACTGTTTGTTCTTCTCTTCCGAGCACAGTGTAGCCATCTTAAGCAGTACTACGTGAACTACTAGACTATGGTGTGGTAAAGATGGAATTCAGTGGGCCTTTAGTATTGCCCTTTTAGGCGTCTGCTGCTATTCCCTACGGAGCTTCCTGTGCTCCGTTCACACTATGGGAGAGCCTGAAGCATGTCGCCCTGTGGCAATTATTGGCTTGAGGAGTGAGAACGGTCATAATGATGTGCATGGGTGCCTACTATCCGTGGTGATTCCTTCCTGGGTATCATGCACACTCCTCAGGCCATAACCTTAGCAGACCAGGCACTGTCAACAATCTAGGACCTAGTCATTGCTGACACGATGTGGCGGTTTGAAGTACCAACCAAAGTAGAATATGCTCACGGGGCTTGTGCACAGGCTTCAGGTCACCAGTGATAAAGAAAACATAATCGTAAAGGACCACTCCACGCCGTTCTCTGCGAGGGGCCACACTCCCGCACGCCAAACACAGCCATCTCTTACTACACCACCAGAGCAGGTACAGCGAGCAAGGTGGGATGACATCACCGCACCGGTATGCAATGAAATCATGTGTGTGTGCTTAGACTGCGGGCCTCCTAAAAGAATACATGTAGTCTTGGGCAGGTGTTGTGATAGTTATAACTTATGGTCACTGGGGTTCAGTTCTAGTTAGGGTATTCTCGATTTGGTTCATATGCCCAGCCGAGTGGGCTGGCAAGGGTAACCACAGCTGCCTGCTTACGAGTAATCTTGGCTACCTCTCGTAGTGCATGACTATCTGAGCTGCTTTTACCGATTACATGTCCCTGGAGCATTGGGAAGAGAAGAAACATAACTGATACTACATACAAGGGTAGAAAAGGACTACACAGTAACTTAGTGGAAGAGCATCACTGGCCAAAAGCGAGGGTCCCTGGTTCTAGTCCTGGCGGTAACAGTCAATTTGGCCTTCTGACAGTTCCCGTTTTCAACTCCCTCAACCTTAGGACCATACAAAGTCTGTCACACTATCTAGCGATTTTGTGAGCAAACACGCGAATGGTCCGTTCATCACTATCGGGTCCATCATTTAGTTATCATGTTCATCGCTTGGGGAGTTCTACAATGAAATGGTAATAGGATAACGTCGTTCCGACGATTTTACTGGAGCCTCAGTGAAAGATTACCTGTCTGCCTGGCATGCATGCGTGTATGCAGGGCGGTGGAAAGGAGAAGACGATCCATCAGGCATGCTTCATTTGCATTGTGCCGCGTATGGGCACTCATTTAGGCCAGGGGGGGGGGGGGGGGGAGTGACGGGTGATCCACTCATTACCCCCAGTGGGTGATGTCAGGGCTTGATTGGTATATTTTAGGAGGCTGGAAGGGATAGTTGACACCAGCGTGATGGGAGCAAACAGCCACTGGGTCCCTTTTTCCTCATTGCTCCGTCCGACGCACTTTGCCATCGCCAGAAAAAGTAATAGTTGTTAGGAACGCGCCAAAAGGCCACTCTTTGCCTCTTAGGTAAACCATGTGCAAAGAGTCATGGCTAGGTGTTGAAAATAGAACAAGTGTTGATGCTAAAGACTACTTCTTATTGGCAAGAAGATCTCGTGGGGAGTGCTCTAGCTGAACAATACATGTACGGCAACACATACAATGTACCTGTACATGTACATGTACCTGTGTGCAGTTTTACAGTGCTGGCAACTGAAATCCGACCCCCTGAGCGGTGGGTTCACATTCTTTGCGATGCGAGCGCAGCACAGCTCAGGGGGTCGGATTTCAGTTGCCAGCAACTGTACAATGTACTATGTAGCACAGTACCAGAGTGTCTGAGTTTCTTTGGATTAGGCTTTTTTCAAATTTTTCATTTTAATTTCATCGTCGAGTTTCATCCCTTGTATCTTTGGTTTTCTTCCTTCTTTCCATGTCGTATTGTTTGAGTAAACCCGTTTTCCACTACTAGGGTGTCTGCGTTGATATTCACCACCACCGTTGCCCTCTGTGGCCGACCACAGTCATGCAATCATACACTCACTTGCCCACAACAGCTACAAGAAGAGGTTCCTTCCAGCAATGAAGTTGTATTCCTTCTGACAGCTGTTTCGGTCACCAAGATCTCATCAGCGAAGGTTGAGTTGTTGAATGACCGGAATTGAAATATTTACCTACAGCACTGGCAACTGAAATCCGACCTCCTGAGCGGTGCGCTCACATCGGCAAGACCCGGCATGGGATTGTAGCACTACGAAAGAGATGCCGCTTGAAACTAAACGCACCGCTCAGGGGATCGGATTTCAGTTGCCACCCGTATACTAGAGTAGTTGCTCCAAGGAACCAAGCAAC